GGACTTGAACTAGTGGCCTGCCGTTTTGCTTGATAATCTTTGGACTGTGTCATTTTATTTGTCGACCTTGGGCTCGTCAGCCTGAGCAGCCAGCAGCTGCCTGAGTGAAGAGATGTCTCCAGCTCCAGTGGGGCAGGAGCAAGAGGCAGAGCTGAAGCCCAAGGTCAAGGGGCTTTTACCCAGCCCCCAGACTATGGCACTTGGAACTGGGACTTCTAGCCTTCTAACTGTAGGAGAATAAATCTGTTTGTCCAAACCATCCACTTATGGTATATTCCTGTTACAGCAGCATTAGGTGACCAAAACACAGCTAGACTAAGGATCTTATCTCCTAACTTCCGGTCTGTCTGGGAGCTCCCATACCGCAGTGCTTCCCAGAGCCCCCTGCAGTGAGTGTGTGTCCTGTACAACGTCAAAGATTTTCACCCATAAAGCAAATATCACAGCTCTTCTGGTTGTAAACGTCCTTTAGCAGGTACAGTGAAGGTGGGAGGCCCTCTGATTTGTTCCGTCTGCCAGCCTTCTCCCCCCGACTGTCAGAGAATCCAGAATGGCCCATCAGTTCTTGGCGCCGCCATTCTGACCGTCAGCCTGTTGGGTGCTGAAATTTGGCCGATTCAGTTCTAGGGGGAGCATGGATTCCTGGAGCAGCTTCTAAACCACTCTCCCTACCATAACGAACTATGAACTTGTCACCTGCTTCCCTGATTTTCTGGGCCTGAGCCAAGTAGTTTGCCTAGTGAACAAGGAGGAGGATTGTTCTGGAAAAAGACAGCAAGAACTTCCTGTCCAGAGACTTTCCCTCTGATTTTAGTCTTCTGTTCGGAAGCTGAGTTCATAGGAACGGCTCCGATTTCCGTCCCATGGATTCAGAGGTGGCTGCCGGGGGCTAATCTCCTATCTGGGGTTGGGGTTGGGGCTGCGTTTTGTAAAGAGATGGAAGTGGCTTCCTCTTTCTCCCTGCCCTCCTTTCATTTCCGATCAGAGAAGGGGGGCATTGTCCTGCAAAACAGCCTCCAGCTGTCACCACTCAGGCTCTTCTTTTCAAAAGTCGCCTTGTTTCGCCTTTGTTCGCTCATGTGTCGTGGGGAAGTGGCACAGAGTAGAAGGCTGGCACACCTCATTCCCCTGTCCTGACTACTGCCGGTCCTGTTGGGTACGGGATCTGCAGACGGCAGTCGGATGGGAAGATGGCAGTGGGGGAGACATGGAAATCTAGCTGTGAGAGCCCCAGAGGCCAGGAGTCGTGTGTGGGATTAGCATGACTCATGGAACAGAGTGGGAAGGATGGGATGGGGAGGAGTTTTGTGATGGAAAGGGCTTGGCCAGGTGTAGCTGGGTGTGAATGGTCTGTTCCTGCCCTTGGGTTACAGATTGCTCCAGGAGGCGCTGGCCAAGAATGCAGAGAGCTCTTGGGGCTCGAGTGTGGGTGTTGCTGACAGGTATTCACTGGTGGAAGACCACCAAGGAATAAGAGTCAGGGTGGCAGGTTTTTAATTCAAACAGGATCTGTTCATCCAAGGAGCCCTGGTGGCACAGTGGTTAAAGCACTCGTTGCTAGATGAAAGGTCAGTGGTTTGAACCCACTAGCTACTCCTCAGGACAACAATGAGATAACGATCTACAGCCTTGGAAGCCTTATGGGCAGTTCTACTCTGTCTTGCATATCAAAATAATCTAACACTAGTTGGTGGTTGCATTGATCTCCAGGGAAGATTTTCTGGGTGAGTGGGGTGGTTATGTTTGTGTGTCAACTTGGATGGGCCTGGTTGAGTGGCTGGGCAGCTGGTGGTAGTTATTCCCCATGATGATGTAGAGCTGAAACAATGTAGAGCTGAAACTGATAGCCTCCAGGGAGATCTTTAACCAGAAACCTTTAATGTGGGGATTTCCCATACCTCAAGCTCTAACAGGTCTCACCTCCCTCCCCCTAAATTTTGCATATCAGAGAGTTCTGCCTGGTCTCACCCCCTCCCCCTAAATTTCGCACATATCAGAGAGTTCTGCATAACTCCAACAAAATCTCTCGCTCACCTTTGAAACCGGGGAATTCCGACCCGCCCTCCAACTTCCCAAACCCCTGTCCTAAAAACCGAATTATCTACTCCACCCCATATTCTTCTATAAATTTGTTTTAATGTAAGAGCACGGGGTCTTTTGCTCAAGCCACTGATTTGGTGAGAGCAAGGACCCTAACTTAAGTTAGCTAATAAACTTTCCTATTGCTTTTGCATTGTCGTGTGTTGGCAAATTCCTCGCGCCGAACAACTCCTTCATAACCTGGGCACAACAATGAGACTGGCAATCACCTCCATGGTGGGATCTACCACAAGCACCTGAATAGCTGCCTTTGGGATATGGTCTGCTTCCTGTATACAAGGAGAAGCCTTGGAAATGGTCTCTAGCCTATGGCATGCTTGGACCCTGCATGTAGCCATGTCATTGCTCAGCAGCCTGCTATGCTCTGCTGACCCTGGGACTTACAGTGGACTTAAGTTAATGGCCTGCTTTGTGGTTTGGTAACATAGGGACTGTGCCTTTTTACTTGTCAACCTTGGGCTTGTCAGCCCCAGCAGCCAGCAGCTGTCTTGAGTGAAGAACTGCCTCTAGCTCCAGTGGGCTGGGAGCAGGAGGCAGAGCTGGACCCCAAGGTTGAGGGGCCTTCACCCAGCCCCTAGAGCCTGGCACTTTGAACTTGGACTTAAAACCTCCAAATTGTAAGAATAAACTCCTGTTTGTTAAGGCCACCCCATTTGTGATATATTTCGTGTCAGAGTGGCACTAGGTAACCAGAACAGTGAGCCATTGCTCTCAGCACCCCGCCTTCTGAGTTTGAGCTGGTGTTCCCTTCTGCAGCCGGGAGGTGTGCTTTCATGCCTGGGCAGAGTTGGTGCAGCATCACAGACAAGTCTAAGCCATCTCTTGGCATGGGTTGGATTAGAGATGCTTAGACGAGCTGCAAAAGATGAAAGGAAACTTCTCCAATGTGTGTTGGAGAACTGGTGTCCTCCATGGGGGTGGGAGGTGCATGCGGTGCACTTGGCTGCTGACCACAAGGTGGGAAGTTCAAGCCCACTCAGAGGTCCCTTGGAAGAAAGGCCTGGTGATCTAGTTATGAAAAATCAGCTGTTGAAAACACTACTACTGTGACACAGCTGTGGGCTGAATGGCATTGGGTTGGAGTTCCCTGGAGGACGTTTGCCTGTGTGAGACCACACACGTGGACTCGCCACCTCCTCCCTGCCCTCATCTCTAGAGCTTGGGATTTTCCAGGAATCCCGGAGTGTTTTCGCCTTCCATGTCTCTGCCTTGGGTGTTTGCTCCAGAGTTAGCTCCTGAGTGAGTGCGTTATCTGTTTAGTGGAAGGAGAACTTAGTAAGACCTGCATGTTGACTTGCTGGCTCTTCTGAGACTTTTCTTGGTGGGACAGTGTAATGCAGAGAGTTTGGAGGGGGTGATCCTGAATGCATTGGATCCCAAAGGGCAAAAACATAGCACCTGAATAATAATAATAATAATAATAATAATAATAATAATAAAATCCAAAACCAAACACTGCCATGGAGTAGAACTGAAATAGGTTCTACAGAATTTTAGATGACTATTTTTAGATTTTTCCTCGCTAAATTCTACTGGGAGAAAAGCCTAAATTCTCATTCCACGTGAGCCCTTTCTGCACTTGTACCCTGTGTGCACTTGCGTAACGTACGACAATTTGAATTGCACACTGTGTCTTTGTCATCAAAATGGGCCTCATAGCTAAGGTGAGGACCAAGGCTCAGTTTCCCAGTGCTGCTGTGACAGAAATACCACAAGTGGTTGGCTTTAAAGAACAGACATTGACTTTGTTGCCATTATGTGCTGTCGAGTCGGCCCCGACTCATAGCGACCCCTCCTTGGGTTTCCCAGCCGGTATCACTACGGAAGTAGATTGCCCCATCTGCCTTCTGAGGAGTGGCTGGTGGGCTTGAACCACCAGCCTTCTGGTTAGGAGTCAAGTGCCTTAGGTACTATGCTACCAGAGCCTCCTAGTGCAGTGGCTAGAAGTCTGAATTCAGGCCACTGGGTAGAGGGAAGGCTCGCTCTCTGACAGCTCTGGGGAAGATCTGGGGGTTAGCTTCTGTAGGTTCCTTGGAGATCATCACATGGCATCTTTTCCCCTTTGTCTTTACCCCTGTGTCCAGTCTGCTCTTTGTATAACTAGAAGTGGGTAGGTTTAGGTCATGGCTTCATGAACATAATACATAATAATACAACTCTTCCCAAATGTGGTTACAGTGACAGGTCTAGGGCTTAGCATTTCAATATATATCCTGGGGGAACTTACCTCAATCTGTAATGGTGTCCTTATGAGAACAAAGTGAAGGCCTATAGCTTCTTATTAAAAGCACCCACTTTTTGCCCTTAGTCACCCCCTTGAATTCAGGCCCTGTGGAACTGAATTTGACCCACACTAGAAGCATTCTTAAGCAATACTAAGTTTTTTTTTAAAAATACTTTTAGTTTTTCATCGGCCACGTTACTCTTTATAAATAATTTGGAGCACAGGTTTTCTTAGGATGTGGTTTTCTTAGCTAGGAAACCTTGCTAGAAGGTTTCAGAAAATGAAGTCATTGGAAATCGAATATTCAGTGTGTCAGACTCTAACTTGTACGTGAATCAGTGGAGACCCGGACTGGGGAGTGACTTTTCCCAGGGTCACGTGACTGATCAGGCCAAGTTGCCCTCGACCCTGTGACCCCTAACTCAGGGCCGATGCACCTCCCTGAGTCTTGAGCATCTGGGGTAGATTCCAGGACAGGCCTGGTTATTCTAGAGAAGGTGTTGAATTGTTGTTTAATGTCAAAGTAATTGAAGTAAAGTCTTTATTGGGCTTTTGTAGCTGGTGCAGGTTATGGTGGGGATCAAGTTTGTGTTCTGCAGCCTCATCTTGTTAGTGGTGTGGCTTGGGGAGTTCACACAACTAACTGTTGTTTTTCTGGCCCTAGAGTTAGACCAACATGCCCTCCTTCCTGTTGCTGGGAGCTGTCTGTGTTTTCATGTTTCCCACAGGTAAGGTCTTTCTGTGGTGGGGGGTAAAGTGTTGGGGGTGTTGGTTTGCTTCCTAACCTGTTGCTTTTAACTTCTGAGGGTCTCTCGAATCCATCCTCTTCTCTCTACTCCGGGCTGCCTCTGTAGCCTAAGCCCCATGATGTCATGCTGGGACCTCTGCAGTAGCTTCCTGACCAGTCTCCCTGGATCCAGCTGCTTCTGTCCTAGCCCATTCTGCACACAGCAGCCATTGCAAGATGCGACCCAGATCATGTCTGGACTCCTCTCCACCACTAAAACCCACTGCCATTGAGTTGATTCCAACTACTAGTGACCCTATAGGACACAGTAAAACTGCCCACAGGGTTTCTAAGGCTGTAAATCTTTACAGAAGCAGACTGCCTCATCTTTCTCCCACAGAGCAGATCCAGCTAGCCACCTTTTGGTTAGCAGCTGAGTGCTTTAGCCGCTGCACCACCAGAGCACCTTTTCTCCACCGCTGTCCCTCCCTTAAAAAAATGATGTCCCCTTGTTGTTGGAGGCCCTCTCTGTACTGACCTTGTGGCCACCTTGCATCCCCTCTGGTGGCCTCCCACACTTCTTTCAAGTCCTGCCGAGCATCCTTGCTCCCTCCCACCTTCAAACCCAACCCAACCCACTGTGAGTCGATTCCAACTCATAGTGACCCTGGGGGGCAGAGTAGAATTGCTCTATAGCATTTCCAAGGCTGTAAGGTTTTTTTTTTTTTTTTAAGTCTTTACAGAAATAGACTGCCCATCTTTTCCCCATGGAGCAGCTGGTGGGTGCAAACCCTCAGGCTTTTGGTTAGCAGCCTAATGCTTTAACCACTACTGCACCAGGGTTCCTTCTCTCACCAAGTTGTTGTTGTTATGTGCCGTTGAGTTGGACCCAACTCATAGTGACCCCCCTTGGGTTTCCGAGACAGTATCACTACGGAAATAGATTGCCCAACCTTCCTTCTGAGGTCCCGAATTGTGTGGACCCTCAGGTTAAGTCAGATCCCCATATTGAAACTGCCCACAGCCCTGGGTACACAGTGCTTGGCTCATAGTTGGTGCTCAAGAAATAGATAGTCCTGATGGAGTAATGGGGCAGCTCAGCCACCTTCTCACTTCCCTTTGTCCCTCCCAAGTTGTTGGCACTGGGTACCACTGAGTCAATTCTGTGGCCCCATGTGACAGTAGAACTGCCCCTTTTGGTTTTCATGGCTGTCATCTTTACACAAGTAGATTGCCAGGCCTTCTTTCAGAGCCACTGGGTGCATGTGAACTGCCACTCTTTTGGTTAACAGCCAAGCGCTTAACGGTTTGCCCCACTTTCTCTCCTTTCCCAAGTTGTAGCCTCTCTGAAATATAAGCTGGTAGGAGAAGAAGTTAGTGTGTCTTGCAGGTCATTGCTCTCCATGTAAGAATGAGCAGACTAGGAGGTCACATTGTCCAAGTTTAGCCCAGGGTCCTCTTTGGTAACACCAGGGGTCGACTATGGTGTCTGAGGTTTTTTCTTCCTTCCTGGGTCTAGGTTTAGTAAACAGAATCTCTGCTGAGTTGACTACTCCCACCACTCACCTGTTCCCCAGAGCTTGGGGGAGATCAGACTTCCGGGCTGGTCCCACCACTGTGGGCTCCTGTAAGGAGAGAGAGAAGCCTTCGTTTTCTGATCTGTAGAGGGAGAGGGTTTGATTCATTCTCAGTCCAGCCTCATTGGCATCAGCCTAGCTGAAAGTCCCTAAACCGAAGCAGTGTCCTTAGAGGTGTCTGCTGAATTGGTTAGAAGAGGTAGTCACCGTTGGACAGGAGCCACCGCTCTGCTCAGGGAAATTCTGCACAGTCCTTAGGTAACTGCCCATGGGTGACCTCCCAGGGGAGCGGCAGTGATGGCACCCAGTCTCAAGGTGTGCTCACTGGAACAGCTTAACACAGGCTCCGGCGAGGCACAAAAAGCTGAGTGACATCTTAGTGAGCACTGGCTATGGAGCTCTTCTACCCCTTATCCCTGGGCGATAGCTGGGCTTTCTCCAACTAGTATGGTGTTTCAAAAAGAATAGTACTTTTCTCTTCTTGGCTGGGCCTTGGGGATTCCTTGGGTCCTGGGCTCTTTGCCAGTAATTCATGGACTCGGTTTGGAAAGTTCTGTGCCTACATGCTGTATGAAGAAAGCTGGGCTAGGCCCCACAGAGAATAGGGTAGAAGTGCTCCAGGGGGACAGGGCAGAGGGGCCCATGGGAGCAGCACTGCATTATGGGACAGTATATAACTTGGGCAAGAGCTTGATGGTCTGAATGCAGTGATGAAGAAAACTTCTATTTTCTGGAGATCAATTTGCTGAAATGGGGTGTGTGTGCATAAAAGTAAGTGTTGCCCCAGCCTTGTTCTAACACCGGCCATGTTTTAGGTACAGAGGTGATCTTTTTTCTTTAATTAGTCTACTGCCTTTATTTTGTAGTTTGGTTTGTTTCTGTTCCTGGTGGTAAAATAGCAGTGGTGACTGTCCTAATGAGAGAGACTTGCCACGGCTTTAGACTGTGGAGCTAATTGACTAGACCCAGCTCCTCATGAGTAGAGATTAAAGGGAGGGTTGTCAGGTGAGTTGCAGCCGCCTGATTAGAGTCTGGGATAGTCTGAGATGAATTCAGGTTGCACTGGGAAGTGGAGATTGAAGCATGGAGCATGGGAGGTAGAGCTGGGACGGAACTTGGAACCAGCCCAAGGGTGCTGAGTTAACCAGCTGACCAGTAGCAAACTCCAGGGGGCACTGAAAGCAAGCGGCATTCGGCATTCGCTCCAGAACCTGACATCTTTTGTTGTCCCCTGCATAGTCACTTTTCACTTTCTTGGCAGCTGCTAACCTTGCAGCCCAGCTTCCCCAGGGGGCGAGCCCAGCCCTGCATGGTTCCTGCTGTGTCCCAGCTCCCTCTCCTTGACCTCTTTCCCCAGCAGCCTATCATGGTGAATTCATTCATCTGCCCTTTTCCTCTAGCTTTTCCTGCCCCTGGCTCTGCCCACCCTGGTCGTGTTTCTCTGTGATTTATAAAGCATCTTCGTGTATGTCTCTTCTGCCACTGGACTCTCCCAAGTGTAGCTGCAGAGAGGTGTTGGCTTTTCAAAATACGTCCTCCAGGTGACACCCTCACTGTCTTCAGGACTTGCCTGGCAGTTGGCTCACCATTCTGAACTCCTGTAGCGTCCTTGGCAAATGCGTTCCCCTTTGCCCTCAAAGTATGTTTTTAAAATTGTTACTGATTGTTCATAGACCATAATTGCAATTTTATTAGGTATCAGGAAGAAATAAAAGTTTACCCGTGAACTTCCTACCCCGATGCTTTTGAGTCCTTATTCACAGGAATGACCTGGAACGGATATCTCATCACTCACGCCCTTGTCTCTGTGGATATTTACTCTCCTCAGCAATTCTCTCTCACAAGTAGCATTCAGGAGAGGGTCTGGGCGCACATTCTCTAAAATTCTTTTTCCTTAGGATCCATTTCCAGGTGTGCTGCTGCAGAGTCAAAGGACGTAGATATTTTTGACTCCTAATTTGTTTGTCCAACTTGATTTCCAAAAGAGTTGTACCAATTTACAGTGCCCTAACTGGTAAAACTTTTCTTCTAACTTAATCTTTCCCCAATTTCATTAAGTTTAAAATTTGATCACTTGAATTTCACCTTTACAGTGTTCTCTCGTTTGAGTTACAGTATTTTGTCACCTGTTGGAGTATTTGCTCTGAGCTTTTCCACAAATCTCTTCTCTGCGTTCACATCCCACGTTCATTTTTTTGGTGGTTGAGATATTCTGTCTAAGGGGCCCAGGGGAAGCTTCTGAGCGTAGTTAGACATAGTGCAGGCAGCCACGTCCCAGAGGGGACCCACTTTTAGGTCTAATCAAGGCTGAAAGTCTAGCCAGAATCTTTCCATTATTCCTTTTTTTTTTTTTTAATACCCAAATATCAACACACACGTGCTTGATAGAGGTGGGGAATCAGGGGAATTTCTTCATGCTATCTGTCTATTAAGTTTCAAGATACAAGTATCTTTAAACTCCTTCTTATTCCTGTTTTCCCTCCTATTTCCTGTCCATGAGACACATGATGTGGAGAATAAGACTCCTCCCCTCTTGGCCTTGGAATGACTGCTTCTGGTGTTTTCTCTCCTAGTGTCCCTATCCTTCCCTCTTCAGGAAGTCCACGGAAGCAGGGAGACCATTGGGAGGATTTCAGCTGCCAGCAAAGGTAAGCCCGTGTTTTACTTAGTCCTCCAAACACCCATTTCAGCTCTGTGTGGCAGACGCAAGGGAAGCTGTCACCTCAGACACTTGGTACCACTCTCACTTCCTCTCACTGGGGCCACAGCCATTTCCCCAAACGGCCCCAGTTGAGCCACTCTCTTGGGTAAAGACCCTGGTGAATTCCAGATTTCTCAGCCTGTGCCTCAAGGTCTCCTGTTACACAATCACTGTCTACCCTACCAGTCTTATCTCCTGCCATATTCCTTCCTCTTCCATGATAATCCATATCCCCTCCTATGGGCCCTTCCCAGAGGCCCTGCGTACCCCTTCCTCAGCCGGGATGCCCTTCCTTCCCTCTCTGGTGAAACTCCTCCATCTTTCCCCAGCTCCATTGTGCCTTCTCAGTGCACCTTCTCGGACCCCCTTTTCTTGCATCATTGTGGTGAGGTGCTGGGAGCGTGAACACTGGGGCCAGACAGCCAGGGTTTGATTCCCAGCTGTCCTGCTTTCTGGTGCCTGGGCCTTAGGAAAGTTACTTAATTGCCATGGACCCTGATTTCCTCACCTGTAGACGAGAAATAAAAAGAGTAGCCTATCTTATAATGTGACTGTGAGGATTAAGTAAATTCATGTGTATAAAGTGTTCCATGCGTAAGTGTGGGCTGTTCTCACTGCTACTTTCACTCTTGGGTCACACTGCCTCATATAGCAGGGTATCTGTGTCCCTGACTAGATTATAAGCCCTTGAGAGCTGAGATCAAGGCTCTTCAGTGTCCCTTCTCGGCCCGGGAGACCCTTCCTCCTTGTGTAGAGCCCAATAAGTGCTGTTGAATTGGGTTTGTCCATGATTACAAAATGTGAGGGCCTGAGTGTGTGGCTCCTGTCTGGGGGCAGGGGTGCTTCCACGGCAGAGGAGGGCCACTCTGGCCGGGACCTTCCACGGTGTGATCTTTGTTATGCCAAGGGGAACAGCACCTCCACCCACCACAGGATCATTTCTGCTTTCACACTGCTCCGTGAGACCCACTTGCGACCCAGACTGTGGAGAAGCTGGTGTTACCTGTTGTTCCCCCTCCCAGTGATGCAGTGCTCAGCTGCGGTGGACATCCTGTTCCTGCTGGATGGCTCCCACAGTGTCGGGAAAAGGAGCTTTGAGAGGTCCAAGCACTTTGCCATCGCGGTCTGTGATGCTCTGGACATCAGCCCCGAGAGGGTGAGTGCAAGTCTTGTGGGCCTGTGTGTTAGGGGCCTTTATAGTGGCAGGTGGCGGAAATTCAATTGTAAGCAGAAGAGGAGGGCACTTACTGGTTTGTGTGGTCCCAGGTAGGGTGGTATCCAAGGGCTCAAGTGAGTCTATCAGCCATCCCTCTCATTTCTCCTCCTCTCAGTTTTGCTCCCTTGGGCTGCCTTCATTCCCAAGCAGGTTTACCTGATACAGCAAAGCTGTCCTTCAAGCTGGTGACCCCAGTGAAGAGAAGATAGACCTCTTTCTCCATAGGTCTGTCAGAAGTCTCAGGCACGGGGGCCCTGATTGGTCAAAGTCAGGTCACATGATTGTCTCTTGCCCAATCACAGTAACCTGGAGGAAAAGCTGCTCTGGCCAGACCTTAGTCAAGTGCTCATTCACTTGTGGGTGGAGGTGGGAGAGCACATGGATTTGATTTTCCGCTAGAAACAGGGGTTGTGTTTGTAGACAAATGGGAAAGAGAAAACATATGGAGCAGACAAAACTATCGGTGCTCAGAACACTAGTCTCAATACGAGGCATAGCTCCTACCCTTTCTGTTCACTTGGAAGGAACTAAATCAAGAAGAACCAAACCCATTGTGATTGAGTCAACTCCAGCTGATGGAGACCCTATGTGTCTAAGAGTAGAACTATGCTTCATAGTATTTTCAATGGTTGTAATCTTATGGAAGGAGTCTGTGGCACTGCTGGATGGATTTGAACTGGCAACCTTTTGGTTAGTTTAAAAAGAAAAACCAAACTCATTGCCACCGAGTCAGATCCAACTCATAGTGACCCCTCCTTGGGTTTCCAAGGTGGTATCTCTATGGAAGTAAATCAAGTACCAATTGTTTGCACCTCCCAGGGACCTGAGGAAGGAATGACTCCTGCCTCAATGAATCTAACAAGCATCTTCATTTCTTGTTCTTCCTGGTTCTAGACCAAACCAAACCGAACCTACTGCCATTTAGTCGATTCCAACTCATAGTGAGCCATAGAACAATAAAACTGCCCCATGGGGTTTCCAAGGTTGTAAATCTCTACAGAAGCATACTGCCTCATCTTTCTCCTGCAGAGTGGCTGGTGGGTTTGATCGGCCGACCTTTTAGTTAGCAGCCAAATGCTTTAACCACAGCACCACCAGAGCTCCGTGGCTCCAGATGGCAGTTCCTAAGTATCAGCCGAATATTGTGGCTGTGGCTCTTGTGTGAGCAACCCAGTAGAACACTGGGCAGTAAGAACAGATTGTTCCCAGAGAACAAAACCCCGATGGCCTTTAGAGATATGAAAAGATGCTCAGCCTCACTCAGTGTAATCTCTGTCCTCTGACACAGCAGTTTTCACTTCCTACATTAGCAAAACCCCAGAGTTTGGTGACAGGCTCTGTTGGCAAGTCTCTAGGAAACAGGCATTGTCACACAGCTGACGGATGCCCCTTCCTTGGCCAGGATGCCCTTCCTTCAGGAGTGCAAAATGTACGGCCTGTGTAGAAGAAATCCAACCATGTTGATTAAAAAAAAAATCAAAGGTTTGGACTGTTTGTATTTGGACCCAGAATTTCACTAAAAGGAATTTATTCTACAAATGCTTCTGCAGGTGCAAAGTAATGCACCTACCATTATTCATTGCAGCAGTTTGTAATAGCAAAATATTTCAGATGATCTGACTGTCTATTCCCAGGGCACAGGTTATATGCATTCTGGTGCACTCATTGAATGGAGCAGTGGGCAGCTGCAGAAAATGAATGAGCAGGTGGTCGAGGGACTGCTGTGGAAAGACTCCAGAACAAGTGTGAAAAGTGTAAATGCCATGTGAACTTACTAAGTGAAAGATTAAGGGGTGAATAAGAACCCGCATTTGCATTTGCCTCGTGGAGGCGTGAAGGGACACTGGAGGCACTTTGAACAGTGGTTTCCCGTGGCGGGGGTTGGGAACTGCACAGATGGGGCACACATACAGGGCACTGTCAGTGTGGACATTTTCATCCTTTCTGGATTTCAACCGTTGTAAGTTATTACAAAAAATTTACAAGGGACGTTTGGTGTGGAAAACCATAATTAGTTGAATTAGAGACTATTCACATATAGGTTGAGGAAGAAAGTAGTTTTCCAAGATCGCATTCCTGGGTTAATCCTGATAAAACCTCTAAAACTTAGGAGCAGAAGTGGCTTCCATCAGGGCCAGATTTCCGCAGAAATGCACGTCACTTTCGGAGAGTGAGTACATAACCGTGGACCACGAGCAGCCTTGCCCTGTCGTCTAAAGCATCTTGGCGCTGCTGTTGTAGTGCCTGCTGCGTCAGCTCCATCTCATAGTGACCCTGTATACGGGGTCCAAAAAAACACTGTAGGAGACCTCATTCAGTCTGGGCGTGACCGGACCAGAAGTTCCAATGTGATGCTGGCCCAGCGCACAGACCCGGAAAGGGTCGGGGCTGAGGAGCTGAAACGCTACCCTCCTCCCAACGGGGCCCTGGTTTTAAGAGGAAGGGAGTCCCTAGGAAGCTTCACGAGTTATTCATGGAGGAAATGGCACATAGATCAAACTCTGCTGACCTTGATGTTGATGTAATGTGTCCTGAAACAGGTGGCCTGGAGACCCCTGAGGATGGCAGGTTGAGAGGGAAGAGGACTGTATGGACTGTTAGTGAATGTTTTACAGAGGAGGGAACTGAGGCTCAGAGAGGTTGGGTGGCTGCCTGGAGTCACACAGCAAACCCAGGACAGAGCTAAGTGTGAAAGAACTCTGGGGCTCTTGACTTTCAGCCCAGAACTTGCTCGGTTATGTCTCCCAGTGTAGCCCCTAGGCTAGGATATGGTAAGGACACTGAGGATTCACATCATGTTCTCACAGGGTGAGTGACAGCTGGCGGAGGTGGGGAGCTGATGGAGTTCCACTCTCGGGGAAAGGGTGGTCCCGTAAGATAAACCATGGCATATCTGCCGTGGTTGGTGCTGTTGGAGCCGCTGCTGCTGCCCCAGCCCACGGGTCCCCAGGGTGCAGGGAATTTAACCTCAGCATCGCAGGATGGCACCTAGATGGTGGCGCTCAGTGCCGGGAGCTGACTTTTAGGCTAGATATTGGGAAACTAGCCAGTGCCCAGGCAGAGGCCTGGAAACTTGCACATGAGGGAAGCTGATTGACATTTTCATGGGAAAGACGGTGCAGCATGACTCTGTTTTGCCAAGAGGACAGAACTGTAGCCTTGGATGTTCAGGGAGTTAGATTTGGGTTTAACTCGAGAAAACGTTCTCATGGCAAGAGTTGTTACACAAAAGACTTGGGTGACTCTCTGAGGACTCCTTGAGGTGGTACAAATGGTTCATGCCCTCAGCTGCTAACTGAAAGGCTGGAGGTTCAAATTGACCCAGAGCCACCTCAGAAGAAAAACCGACTACTGGAAACCTGATGGAACAGGCTTTCACCCTGACACACACGGGGTCTCCACGCGGTAAAGTTGACTCGACAGCAACTTTATTTCCCCGCTATTTCTGTGAATGAGTGAGCGTCCGGCCTCCAGTGGGCTCAGGTGGACTTGTTCCAGTGCCTTGGGGGGGAGGGCTTTTTTTTTTTTTATTAGGATTTGGGTGAAGATTTACAGAGTAAATTCACTTTTCATACAGCAGTTCACACATACCTTGTCTCATGTCATGACCAAAATTTACAATGCAGCAGCTCCCCTCCCACTTCCTCCCCATAGTTACCTCCTCCCAGTGTCCATCCCTTCATACTCTTCTGCACCCTGAGCTATCTCCCTGTGCATAAGCAGCCCTTCCTTCTCCCGTGATTGTTCTCTCCAGGGCGTGTGTCTACTTGAGGTAAATGCCCAACTCACATGCCTGTACTTTGTTTGGCTGGAAACCACAGGTGTGGGTTCAATTCCAGACCTGAAGGGCAGCTAGGGGCCATAGTCTCAGTGGTTACACCAGGCTCCATTGGACCAGCAAACCTGGTCCCCACCTTTTTTTTTTTTGCCTCCAAATGATTTTGAGTTTTGTACCACATTGTTCTCCCTCTTTATGCAGGATCTGGGGGAGGGCTTTTGCAGGAGTGATTTCTGATGTTCAGAGTGATTTGTAGTTTTGGGTTTTCTGTTTCTGCTGCTGTGTCGTCATCTTCAGTACAAGGGGTCTGATTTGCTCCTGGGTTTACTTTCTATAAGGAGCCCATGTGGCGCTGTGGTTAAAGCACTCGGCTACTAACCAGAAGGTCAGTGGTTCATATCCACCAGGCACTCCACAGGAGAAAGATGTGGCAGTCTGCTTCTGTAAAGATTGACAGCCCTGGAAAGCCTAGGGGGGTTTCTATTCTGCCCTGTAGGGTCTCGATGAGTCATCAGCTTGATGGCAGGGGATTTGGTTGGTTGGTTTTCTCTGACTTCAGTCTGAGGGAAGAAATTTTCAAGTAGCTGTAAATTAAGGCTTTTATGGTGCTGTGTTGTAGGTGGATATTTGGGTGTTTGAAGTCTTCCTCTCAACACTTAAGGCTGAGAAGCTAACTTCCTGGCTATAATAGAATGATTGCCAGGGAGTGATTGCAGTGTGCAGTGAAAACTGGGCAGGTTTCCTTCCCAGACATACAGTAAACTGGAGCAGATGAAAGGCAACTCTTTTGCTCCCAAACCACCAATTAAATTAAATGCTTCAACTACTGACTTCAGCTGTTTCCATCTTGTTTTGAAGTTACAGCCTTCCTGTTTAACTCAAGTAAATACACCAGCTGTTGGTCTCAAGAGAGCTGTTCTCCTTTTTCACTGAGTAATTCATTCACATCGTTCCATAAAAAGGTAAATGGGAAGTCTCCCTCACACCCAGGCAGTTTCCATCTGCTAGTCCTCCTCCTAGCTTTCTTGACCCTCCTTCCAGAATTACTGCATGTAAATATAAGCAAATGTGAATTACGTTATTTTCCCCCTTTTTACACTGAGGGTACCCCTACCAACTGCTGTCAAGCCAATTCTGACTCATAGCGACCCTATAGGACAGAGTAGAATATGGGCTCTCCAAGGCTGTAGATCTTTATGGAAGCAGACAGCGTCATCTTTTTCCTGCAGAACGACTAGTGGGTTTGAACTGCCGACCTTTTGGTTAGCAGCTGAGGGCTTTAACCACAGTGCCACCAGGGATTCTTACACCAAGGGTAATATACTATATACACTATTCTATTTCTTGCTTTTTCCCTCCCCGTTTTGTCTTGGAAATATTTCTATATATCAATATATAAGCACATATTATTTTTCTTTTTACTAACCAAAAACCAAACTCACTGCCATCGAGTCAGATCCGACTCATAGCGTCGCCTCCTTGTGTTTCCGAGGCAGTATCCCCTATGAAGTAGATTGCCCAGTCTTCCTTCTGAGGAGGGGCTGCTGGGTTTGAACTACCAGCCTTTTGGTTAGCACTCGTTTTACTATAGCTGATCAGTGTTCCACTGTAAGGGTTTACCAAGATTTAATTAACTAATCATCTGTTGATGAACACTTGCTATTACAAGTATACTTATGATGAATGAGTTGTCATTTCAGGTGTATAAATACATTGGTAGGACAGATTTCCAGTTTGTTCAATTTGTTGTTGTTAGCTGCCATCCAGTCAGCTCCCAATAACCCTGTGCACGGATAATTTTTGGTAAATGTTGACAAATGACCCTCTCTAGAGCTTCTGCCAATTTATGTTCCTACCAGCAATGTTTGTAAGTCTGGTATGTCCACAACCATAGAAATGTCATGTTTGGCTTTTTGCTAAACTGATAGGAGAAGATAGTCTCTAAGTGTAGTGAGGGTCAAGCATCTCTGAATGTTTAAGGGCTGTTTGCATTTGCAAATGCAACTCACTTTTTCTGTTGGATCATTGGTTGGATTATTTTACGTTATTGATTCCTAAAAACTCTTTATATGTTTTGGAAACTAGTCCTTTGTCTCTGACATGAGTGGTAAATATTTTTTTCCATTTTGTTTTAGCTTTTTTATTTCATGAAGATGTTTCACCATGCAGAAGTTTGTTTTATTTTTTTTATCTTTTAAATGTAGTCTCATTTATCAGTCTTTTCTTTTATGGTTTCTGGATTTCAAGTCATAGGAAGATCTTTCCAGTTCAACGTTATAGAGCAACTCTCCCAGGTTTTCTTTTAGAACTTCCATGGTTTCATTTTTCACATTGAAGTCTTGGCTCCATTTGCAGTTTATCCTTTATTTCTTACAGATTGCCATTCACGGGTCTCAAATTCGTCAGTAGACCGTCTTTTCCCCACTGGTTTATGACGTTCCCTTTACCACAATGTTAAATTCAAGGGAGGTTTAGAAAGGGTTCCTTCCCAGGAACCTCTGCCTGAGCCTGTCTGCTGCTCTGTCAGAGCCCTTCCCTCCCACATCCCTGCCTGGACTTGAAGTCCTTCCCACTTTGGATGCCCGGTGGCTGGCCCTGCATCAGGACGTCCTTGGTCCCGAAGGAAAGGCCGAGGGGCGTGCTCACTGCAAGGAGGCACGGCCAGCCTGGCGTGGCAGAGTTCTTCGGCCCTCTCCCACAGCTCAGGCATGTAAGTGGGTAGTTGCAGTACTCAGTCATTGCAGGCCCTCCTTAAATGTGACTCAGCTGACCCATTTGTAATCTTTGCCATAATTGGGGTCTAGTTATGGGAATGTTGTTGTTGTTATGTGCCGTCGAGTCGGACCCGACTCATAGCAACCCCTCCTTGGGTTTCCGAGGCAGTATCACTAAGGAAGTAGATTGCCCCGTCTTCCTTCTGAGGAGTGGCTGGTTGGTTTGAACCACCAGCCTTCTGGTTAGCAGTCAAGCGCCTTAGGCACTATGCTACCAGAGCTCCCAGTTATGGGAATAGTAGCTGGAATATAGTTTCACCAGGGGTTTTTAGGAGCCATTGATCAGGTACAGGGCTTAGGACTTCAAGAAGAAACCTGAAATGTCTGTAGCCTTCTTTGCTCGGACACACTAGTGTCTCAAGGTCCAGATAATGGCTTTCCTCTGATTCCCTCCTTCGGTTCTGCGAGATGTTGGATTTTCTTTGCAGGGCCTCCTTTTATAAGGATGCCTGAGTCTGCTTGGTGACATCGATGGCTCTTGTTTCTTCCATCCTGTAGACACCTTCAGCATCAGTGTTGTTAGTCTCAGTTGAGGTTGCTGCTGCTTGGCCCCCGTCTGCCTCCAGTTTGGAGACTTGGCCTTTCTTCAGTTTAGCAGGAGCAGGCCTGGAAGAGCTGACAACCCAGCAAAGGAACCGACTGGTGGTGGCTGCACTCAGCTTCTGTGGCACCCCTGGTGGGTCACCGTGCATTTTGCTGAACGCCTGTGCTGGCTGGTGAGGACCACTACCATCGAGCCAGTTCCCACTTTGTAACTCATAGCGACCTCATCCAAGGGGGTATATCTTTCCTTAAGTAGATTGCCCCACCTTCTTTCCATGAAATAGCTGGTGGGTTTGAACTGCCAACCTTCTAGTTAGCAATCAGATGCCTTTGGCATTGCACCAGCAGAGCTCCTTAGGAAGGGAGAGTCTAGACCCTTAGTGGAGATCATCGGCAGTGAAGTTCAGCAGTCTGGATTTGAGTCCTGGTGCCCTTTCTTACAAGGAAGGAGCCCAGGCGATTCAGTGGTTCAAGTGCCCAGCTGTCAACCAAAAGGTTGGCAGTTTGATCCCACGAGCTGCTCTGCAGGAGAAAGATGGGGCAGTCTGCTTCCACAAAGATTACAGCCATGGAAACTATATGCTCTGTCCTACAGGGTCTCTCTGTGTTGACATGACTCAGTGGCAGTGGGTTTGGTGTTTTTTGTTTCCCCTTTCTTACTAGCCCTGTGGCCTTGGGCAAGATCTGCACCCTTTTTAATTTTCCTTTCCCCAGCAGCCGTGTGGGTACTAAATGTGTGTGGATTGATGAGACCACGTGGGAGCTTGCTTAAAGCTGTGCCAACGCCTGGGAGACAGCTGGCAACCCAAAGCAGAAAGCCTGCCTCCAGGCTCCAGCCCAGCGGGATGCCAGGATGTTTAGCTGCCTTTAAGGAGGTGTGGGGAGTCCTGGGTAACACAGTTACGTGCTCCAGGAAGTTGGTGGTTTGAGCCCATCCAAAGGTGGCTCGGAGGAAAGACCTGACAATCACTGCCAAAAGGTCACAGCCGTGAAAACTTCTGCTGAGCGCAGTTCCACTCTGACACACGTGGGGTCACCGTGTGGCAGCATCGATAGCAGCTGGTTGGTTGGAGGGATGGAGGCTGAAAGATTGGATCATTCAGCTCTTTTGCTTCCAGATTTTCCTCCTGGCCCTTGGAAGCTTCTTTTCGGAGACTGGAGATAGCTCCTGCAGTGGGGTGTGTTGAGTGGGCAGGAGGTGGGGTCATTAACCTTGTCCCTGAGTCCTCTCAGGAACGTCTGTGACTTGACTCCAGTCTCGGGCCCCCTGTCTCTTGCTGCAGGTCAGAGTGGGAGCGGTCCAGTTCAGTTCCACCCCTCATCTGGAATTCCCCTTGGATTCGTTCTCAACCCGACAGGAAGTGAAGGCAAAACTCAAGAGGACGATTTTCAAGTATGTACAATCAGATAATGGCATGGTGAGGAAGACGCCAGCTGCTCCCCTCCTGCTTCTCTTGAAGGAAGAGGCCTTGCTCCCAGCCCCTCAGCTTGCTGGGAGCTGAAAGTGGGGGATGGGCTTCCTGAACCCCAGCTGTGCACACAGGCCTCCCTCCTCGAGCTACTCCTTACTAAGGTCCCCCAGTGGGAATGCAAACACAAGTCAGAAAGCATTCACTGCTATTCTGTGTAGCTGTCAATGCCGAGAAGGAAAGGGCTATTGAAGGTTGAGACTGGGCTTGAGAATGGTGTGGGTAGACCACTGGGTCCCAACCCAGCTCTGTGCCTTGGGGCTGCTTCAGCTTAGACAGTGTACCCATTTCTCACAGCCACCTTTTAGGTTTTTTTTGTGTGTGTAAAAAGGGGTAAATACTTCTGTGACTGAGAGTGCTTTAAATCACTGTGTAAGTGCTTATACACATATGTACCCTGTAAGTACATGTACTGGGCCCTAACTGACATTCCAAGTTAGCTGATACATGTATATAAATATATATGTATATACATGTATGTTATATGTGTATATATACATATGGCTGTGGATATACTTCATGTGTGTACATTTGTGTGTAGGAGTGCTGGTGGTGCAGTGGTTAATCACTTGGCTGCTAACTGAAAGGTTGGCAGATCAAATCTACCAGCTGCTCCACAGGAGAAAGATGTGACAGTCTGCTTCTGTAAAGATTTACAGCCTCAAAAACCTCATGGGACAGTTCTACTCTGTCTTGTAGGGTCACTGAGTTGTAATCAACTTGATAGCAGTGATATGTCTGTGTGTACACATGTGTGCATACACACACACACAGAGCTGATAAAATGTTCTTCAGAAGCCGTCACAGTGACTTGCCACTTGCCTCTCTGATGGCCACATCCTCTCTGGTCTCTGTTATCCCCTGCTCTGGAATCCTCTAAAGTCCCACCGAAGTCCTTGGTCCCGGCTATTTCCTGCCATTGCTTCCAGTTGCAAAGGCCCTGAGCTCTAAGGTCCCTTCCCAGGCACAGGCCTCGGTAGGCCCACCAGCACCCTCAGCAAGCACAGGTCCCCACGCTGGGCACACCAGGACCTCTGGAGGCCCAGGAGAGCCAGTGGCTTCATCTCAGGCTGTGTGTCCCCGTTTGCTCTGCGGTGGGTAGAAGAAGGAGCAAGACAAATCTAAGAAAGTGCAAAAGAGAAAAGCACGTTTGTATGTCTTTAAAAATATGCATTGGTATCCGCTGCCTGTCTTCTTTTCCCTTCTATCCTTGGGGTCTCCAAGAATGAGTCTCCCATAAAGCTCACACAGCAGCCTTGAAGTTATCTTGAGCCAAGACATATAAGAGCAGCCCTTGTCAAAGTGAGGTCCTCTGGCCACCTGGGTCAGAACTGCCAACGGAACATGTTAAAAATACAGGTCCCAGACCTGCTGAATCAGTGGCTGGGCAGCGGTACTTAAGAATCTCTCACCAGGCTCCTGACCACCCACCCCACCCCATGGCTATTATGCATACAAACCAGCTTTACTGAGAGGTGATTTATGTCTCATGAAGGCCACTAATTTAAAATACACAATGTAGAGCTCTTGGGCATGTTTACAGAGTTATGCAATGCTCCCTCTAACTTTAGAACACTTTCATCGGTCCGAAAGAGACCTTGTGAATAGACATTTCTCTAAAGAAGAAATACACGTGACCAACAAACACATGAAGAGATTCTCAGCGTTAGTCACTGGGGAAGTGCAGATCAAACCACAAGGAGATGTTGCTGCCCACCCACCCAGGACAGCTATAATCAGAAAGATGGACAATACCAAGTGTTGGTGCAATTGTGGAAAAATTGTGACCCTCAGACACGGCTGCTGAGAATGTAAAATGACGGAGCTGCTTTGGAGAACAGTCTGACAGCCCAGGCAGTCTCTGGGTTACCAATGTCCGGCTTATGGATGACTCCTAAACCAAAAAACCAAACCTGCTGCCATTCGGTCAATTCAGACTCAATACCAACCCTGGAGAAGAGTAGAACTGCTGCCACAGGATTTCCAAGGCTGTAAATCTTTGCAGATACAGCTTTCTCCCGTGGTGCAGCTGGTGGATTTGAACCACCAACCCTTTAGCTGGCAGCTGCGTGCTTTAACCACTGTGCCAGGGTTCCCTGGACAACAACTCCTTGCCCTTTAATGTTAGGGAAATTTGCCCTCACTTTGAAGCAACTGAACGAAACCTTACTCCGGACGTACTCTTCATCCCAATCACATTCACTTGCTACACATGCAGCTTTTAAATCACTGAAAACACTTCGAGCCTTTTCTTGCACCTAAGGCCCCTATGCACCTGCTCTGACTCACCTACAGATTTTACTTAAAGATACAAGAACAGATCTCGTTCATAACCTAGAGACTGCCTGTACCTCAAAATAGAGTTAGCAGATGACCCAGCCACTCCACTCGTAGGTATATACCTAAGAGAAATGAAAACCCGTGTCCACACAGAAACTACATGGATGTTGACAGCAGCATTCATCATACTAGCTCAGAAGTGGAAACATGTCCATCAACTGATGACTGGATAAAGCAAACGTGGTATATCCATGTGACGGAAAGTTATCCGGCCACAGAAGGAATGAAGTACTGATACATGTTTCAGCGTGGATGTACCATGACAACATGATGCCGCATGAAACAAGCCAGACGTGAGAGGCACGTGCTGTGTGATCCCACTTACAGGGAAGGTCCAGAGAGCAGAGGAGTAATTGTTAGCACTGCCCCCGGGGGTCGGGTGGGGATGGGGAGGGCTGCTAGGAGGGTTTCCTTGTGGGGTGAGGAAAATGTTCTCGAATTAGACAGATGATGATCAGTGTGTCATTATGACTGTGCTAATGACCAAGAAATTGTACACTTTAAACAGGTGAATTTTATGGCACATGAATTGTGTATCAGTTGTAAAGGAACTATGGTGGCATGGTGGTTAAAGCATTCAGCTGCTAACGAAAAGGTCGGCGGTTCGAATCCACCAGCAGCTCCTCAGGAGAAAGATGAGGCAATCTGCTTCGGTAAAGATTTACAGTCTTGGAAACCCAATGAGACAGTTATACTGTCCTTAGGGTCTCTATGAGTCAGAATTGACTCAATGGCAGTGAGTTTGGCTTGTGTTTGGAAAGTTGTCATTAAAAAAAAAAAAACTTTGTACCGGCTTTATACACAGACTTTTGCAGAAGAAAGAGCAGCCTGTTGGCTTGAGTTTAGGACTAGAATTTGGGGCATGTGGTTGACTTTGACTCAAATGACTGCTCTGCTCACATCTGAAAAAAAGGAGTAAATTGCAGAGAGCTGGTACAAAAGGAGCCTAGAGATCATCAGGCATCCACTCCCAGCTCCTTATTTTACAGAGGAGGATACTGAGGGTCAGAGGATACTTGACCCTTGTCCAGGGTCACACTGCTGGTCCCGCTTTGCAGGCTGGTGTCACCTGCAGTATGCCCCCCATGACTGGCCCTTCCCACTTTCCCTCCCCCCGGCTCCCAAATTATCAATTGAGCCTCTTCCCAGCTGTGTTGAAAGTCATACCCAAGGGCCTGCGAGGACCATTCCTGCACGTGAAATCCAGAGTGTGGTGAGAATGTGCTCAGTGAGGACATGGGGCTTAGAGGAAGAAGCCTCTTGATGCATCTGACCAACAGCTGCTAGTCCAGGCATGTGTGTGGTTGGCATGTCTATGTCCCACGACAAGGACAAGAGGCAGCAAACGAGCCAAGGAAACAGTAATTTTTGGCTACGCTTGTGGGGTCATCTAGGACACTGAGAACAGAAGAGAAGCTATTAATCAGAGCAGGGAAATGTTGGCCGAGGGGCAGCGATGGCCTCCACTGGCTCCTTGTCCTTCCTCTGCTGTGAAGTTTGAAATGGTGACCATCAGGGCAGCTCCACCCGAAACCCAGACAGAAGCCACTCCCCCTCAACCCAGAGCTTGTTTGGAGATGGATGGTTCAGAGTCCACCCTGCAGGGCTGCTTTGCAGTAAGTTTGAAAATCGTTAGAACTGTTGTTAAGTACCATTGAGTCAGTTCTGACATAGCGACCCATGGACGACAGAGTGAAACGCTGCCCAGTCTTGCACCATCCTTAATCGTTGGCTGTGTTTGAGTCCATTGTTGCGGCCACTGTGTCATTCCATCTCACTGAGGGCTGTCGTCTTTTTCTCTGATCCTCTACTTTGCCAGGCATGATATCCCTCTCTAGTTGCTCACTAGTTGCTCCTCTCTAGGCACTGGTCCTTCTAATGTACCCAGAGGTAACATACAGTCAGATACAGCGTGGCTAGTTCTGGATGCTTGGAACTTGTGGCAGCGGCCAGTTGTTTCATTGATCTCCCAACACCACAGCCCTGAGTTCTATGTGATTGCATTTCTGGACCCCAGCTGTAGCCTTATTGGGGTTTGACTGTATTTAGGGAATACTGTGCACGATGCCTTTTATCGCCTTCTCTGGCCTCTTTGAAACCATGCTAACATTAAACAGCACAGCTTCTAGAACAGTTACATTTATAAAGCTCTTTGTTCTTTCTTTCACTTAATGTTATTTGGTATGTACTGTTGTATAAAGTGGCATTTTTCATGTAGATCCTTTTTAATAGTTACATGATAATCTGTTGAGTTAAGATAATGTGATGTATTTAATCATTCCCCTATAAGGAAACAGGGTTGATTACAGGATTTTTTTTTCCCTACTGTTAAAAACAAAGCTGTAATCAAGAGAATGAGTGCTTGTACTTGAGGCTCCTGGGCTCAGAGCCCAGGTGGGTGATGGTACAAGGAGTTCTGAAGCCACTCTGATGTGGGGCTCCTAGGTTTTGGTGAGCTGGGCGGGAAGACTGATGACAGATTTGCCTGGAAATTACATATTCACACTCGCACATACCTACATTCATATATATACATGTGTGTTTGCATATATTACACATACACATTCGAACACATTTACACATGCACATACATTCACACAACATACACATGTTCAAACATCCACACAACATGCACATGTGTTCATATGTGCACATGTGTGTGTTCATAAATGCATATGCATTTACACATAATTTATATACCATCTATGTGTGTTGAGAGGATCCTCAACAGTGCAGTAGTTAAAGCACTTGGTTGTTAACTGAAAGGCTGGTGGTTCAAACTCACTAGTTGCTCTGTGGGAGAAAGATGTGGCAGTCAGTTCCCACAAAGACTTACAGCCTTGGAAACCTTGTGGGGCAGTTCTGCTCTGGCCTAAAAAGGTCACTATGAATTGGAATCGACTCAGTGGCAGTGGGTTTGGTATGGTTTTTGGTATTTGTGTGTTCACATATCCATACATGTTCACACATACACAATGAGAATGCCCGTACCTCTTGTCAGCTGCATGCTTCTGTTTTAGAAGTGTGGCCATAGGCTCTGCCGAGAGCGTGGAGTGAAAGGCAGGGATAACTGTAATGGAGGACAACCTGAGTGTGAACGTGACCCCCTGTCTCTTGTTTGTGACCAGTCAGCATTTCAGAATGACGACCTAGCAGCTTTCTGTGTGCACACAGTTAATAACTGCAGTGATTCCAGCAGCCTCCACATTTGGATGTGTCATTATCCAGGAGAGGTTCAGTGGCAGCAGGGACTGGCTGTCCCAGTTCAGGTCCCTAAAAACCATTGTGGCGAGGCACTGGTCTCTGCTGGTGCGCCAGGCCACAGCCCCTGTGGAAATGCCCACACGAGCCTTGTGAGCCGGAGCAGGGCTGCCCTCATGCTGCTCTGGGCAGTGCTGCGTGAGCTGAGCTAGGTCACCACTCCTTGTAACCAGTCTGTAGGATAAGCGCACCTCAGCAACTCGACGAGTTGGACCTCTGTAACCCTGGCCTGATCTGCAGGTGGTCCGGCAGTTTCAGCTGCCCAGCATCCAACCTAAACTTGGAAGTGGGTACTAACAGGACTCCCTCAGGCCCTTGTCCCAGAGTCCTGACTGATTCTTACTTAACATACAGTTTGTGTAAGCTCAATCATCCCCTTTCCCAGAGAAGGTGACGATAGGCCATAACAAGAAGGGGTCATACGGGATGGGGAGGTAGGAGGTGTGTGTGAGATAGCTGACACGAGTCATCAGCCCAGCATCATCCCTGAGGGAGAGGAAATAAAAGCACGCACATGGAACAGTGTTATTACGTAATATGACAGACTTGTGCAGGGTCACGCTCAAGTTCATGGAAAAAGTGGTTTTGGTGAATGGCATCACTTTTCAAAGCAGCTGTTCACTAGTCATGAGCCCAGTAATCTCAGATTCTGTCCTGAGTTTCCTAGTAGTCCCTGGGTGGTCCACGTGGTTAACACACTCGGCTGCTAACCAGGAGGTTGGTGTTTTGAATCCATCCAGAGGTGGCTTGGAAGAAAACCCTGGCGACCTGCTTCTGAAAAATCAGCCACTGTAAATTGAGGGGCCCTGATATCCGGCAGAAAGAGACTGTCAACATAACCCGACATGCACAGACAGCAGAAGAGAAGCCAGATGATTGGGACCTTCTGAAAATTAAATTTTTATATGCCTCCAAAGACTTCTCCAGGAGAGTCGAAAGAGAACCTACAGATTGGGAAAAAGTATTTGGCAATGACCTATCTGACAAGGGACTTATCTCTAGAATTTGTAGAAAACTCCAACACCTCAATAACAAAAAGACAAACAATCCAATTAAAAAATGGGCAGAAGACATGAATAGACACTTCACCAAGGAGGATATTCAGGAGGCCAACAAACATATGAAGAAATGCTCACCATCATTAGCCATTAGAGAGATGCAAATCAAAACAACAAGATAACCATCTTGCCCCAGCACTAGTAGCAAAGTTCACCAAGACAGAAAATAACAAATGCTGCCAAGGATGCGGAGAGATTGGGACTCTCCTACACTGCTGATGGAGCTGTCAAATGGTACAACCACTGTGGTAAGCAGTATGGTGATTCCTTAAAAAGTTGGAAATAGAAATACCATTTGATCCAGCCATTCCATTACTAAGTATATATCCTAAAGAAGTGAGAACCATGATAAGAACAGACATATGCACACCCATGATCATTGCAGCCCTATTTACAATAGCCAAAAGAAACAACCTACGTGTCCATCAACTGAGGAGTGGATAACCAAACTCTGGCACATACACACAATGGAATACTATACAACCCCAAAGAACAACATAGAATCTGCAAAACACCACATAATGTGGATGAACTTGGAGGATGATATGCTGAGTGAAAAAGTCAATCACAGAAGGACAAATATTGTATTAGGCCATTATTGTAAAAGTCAAGGAAACATTTATCTATGGAAGGAAATTTTCTTTGTTGGTTACCAGGGGTGGGAGGGTAGGGTAGGGTAGGGAACACTGTTAGATAGGTAGAGATTAGTATTGATTTGGGTGAAGAGAAGGGCAGTATACCAAATGTGAGCGATCAACATGGTGGCATTGAGGAAGAGGAAGACAGAGGTACATGGAAGGTATAGACAACAAAGATGAACCCTTTTGTACATACAGTATTGTGTTGTTAGTGAAGGCAAACGTGGGTAGATGGGTGGACAGGCTGTACTATTAGGTATGTCTATGTAGCAGGGAGTGTATCCAAGACCATGTATAGGGTTGGCAGACTTTGGTCCTATAAGTGTATTTATGTGATCTATAAGAATTCCCAGGTATATAGTAAAGTTGACAAGGGACAAGGTTGTAGTCACTTCTTGGTCACAGACAGCTACCCTGAGGGACTGAGTAGTTGAACCTGTGGGCTTGGGACCATAGTCGCAGGGGACATCAAGCTCAATTGGCATAACATACTACACAAAACATTGTGCCACCTCCTACTTTGGCGAGTAGTGACTAGGATTTTAAAAGCTTGCAAGCAGCCATCTAGATGCAATATTGGGTCTCTCCTCATCCAGAGCAAAGAAGAATGAAGACAATTGAAGACTCATGGAAACAATTAGTCCTAGCGACTGGTACACCAGGTGATCTGCGGCCTATACGACTATGAGACTGGAAGAACTAGATGGTGCCTGGCTACCACTGTCAACCACTTGGAGGGGGACCTATGTAGGAGACACTGGATAAAGAGGGAGAACGATGTGGAATAAAACTCAAAATCATTTGGAAAAAAAAAAAAAGGGGGACCAGATTTGCTGGTCTGATAGAACCTGGTGGAACCACTGAGACTATGGCCCCTAACTGCCCGTTAGGTCTGAAAATGAACCCACAGCTGTGGCTTCCAGCCAAACAAAAGACAGGCATATGAGTTGAACATTTACCTGAGGTAGATACACTCCTTGGGGAGGACAATCATGGGAGAAAGAAGGGCTGCCTATGCACAGGGAGACAGCTCAGGGGGCAGGAGTGCATGGGAGGGATGGATACAGGGAAGAGGTAACTATGGGGAGGAAGTGGGAGGGAAGCTGTTGTATTGATTTAAATTGTAGTCAATGTCATGAGAAAAAGTGTACGTGAGCTGCTGTATGGAAAGTGAATTTGCTCTGTAAACATTCACTCAAATCACAATTTAAAAAAAATCAGCCCTGAAAACCCCATGGAGCACAGTTCTGGTCTGATACAAACGGGGTCGCCGTGAATAAGAACTGACTTGACGGCAACTTGTTTCCTAGGACTGCCATGACAGTTACCACAAACTTGGTGGCTTAAAACAGGGATTTGTTCTCTCACTGTTCTGGGGGCTAGAAATCTAGAACCCAGTGGGACCACACTCCCTCCAGGGACTATAGGGGAGGATCCATGTTTACCTCATCAGCTTCTGTGGTGGCCCCGGCATCCCTGGCTTATGGCCGCATCACCCCGGTCATGGCCTCTTTCTTCACGTCATCTTCTGCGTGTGTCTCTTTAAGGACACTTGCCATTGAATTTAGGGCCCACCCAGATAATGCGTGATGATCTCCTGAGCCTTAACTTCATCACAGCTGCGAACTTTCCAAGTAAGGTCCTGGGAATAGGACACAAACTGCTCTCTTCTGGAGCTCACACTGAACTCGCTGCAGGCTCTCCCCCCAGACTTTGCCTTTCTGACCACTGACTGTCTCTTCTTCCTTTTTCCCTTTGGTGCCTCAGAGGAGGAAGCACAGAGACGGGCCTGGCTCTGAAGTACCTTCTGCGCAGAGGGTTCCCAGGGGGCAGGAATGCCACTGTGCCCCAGATCCTCATCGTGGTCACGGATGGGAAGTCCCAAGGGCACCTTGCTCTGCCAGCCAACCAGCTGAAGGACAGGGGTGTCACCGTGTTCGCTGTGGGGGTCCAGTTTCCCAGGTAAGAGGCTTAGCCGTTCTAGAGCAGCCCTCTGGTCAGCCTGGCACTCTGTGGCACAGCAGAGAGACCACAACACGGGAAGGGGGGGGGGTCGACAAGCCGTCCTGGTCTCATGTGTGTGCCTTCTCGCTTTGCCATTCTGACATCCGTGCACTATGATCTCCAGGTCTTTGAAAATCAGGGAGTATGTGTTGTCCTTGGTTTAGGCTGAACGCTTGGTTGCAGAGGTCAGAAGGTCAGAAAGCTCAGATCTGGGCAAAAATAGGAACTCGTGGACTTGTGGAGCTTTGCTGGGTGGGCAGTGGTCCTTGGGGCAGCAGGAGCCAGGTCATGGACACCTTGTTGGGTGGTGGTAAAGACGCTGGAGTTTATGCATGAGGGGTGGGATGATTTGCAGGGTTCTGAGTCATGAGGGGTGATGAATCGACTTATGTTTGAGAAGCTCACCCTGGGTGCTGTGTGGAGAACAGACAGGGAGGGGGACAGAAGGGAAGTAGTCCAGGTGGGAGGTGCTGGAGCAGCTCCCATGCGAGGTAACAGTGGCTTGTCGCTGGGAAGCAGCTGTGGGTGGTAAGGAGGGGTTGGACTCAGGGTAGGTTGTGAGGGTAGAACAGTAGGGTGGCCGATGAATTGGATGCAGGGGGTGTGTGTAAAGAATCGACAGTGATGGCCAAAACCAGGCCACCTTACTTTCTGTGGTGAGCTGCCCTTGTTTGCTCATCTTGCTGTCAGCTGGAGCCACTTTCCTTCATGTTGTTTCTGATGAAGTGTTTTTCTCATCAGCCATGGGCTACAAAGGCAGACAAGTGAATGTGCCAGGACTGGGTCTCAAGGCAGAGCCCGAGGCACGTGTGTTTCAATGCGCACACATCGAGACCCGCTTCTGGGCTGTCTTGCAGTCCTTCAGGGGCTCACGTCTTGGTGCTTACTGCAGTCCTCAATGGAGGAGCTGATCTAAGCAGCCTCTGATCAGGAGAGGGGTTGACGTGCATCAGGAGCCCACATTTTGGGAGGTGAGGCAGGCGGGAGGAGGGCAGGCCTGAGCCTTGGAGCCTTTATAACTTTTCAGTGGGCGGGGCTGGGACAGGTGGGAGGAGCTGCACACTCTGGCCAGCGAGCCCAGGGAGCAGCACGTGCTGTTTGCTGAGCAGGTGGCAGATGCCACCAACGGCCTCTTCAGCACCCTTGGCAGCACCGCCGTCTGCACCGTGGCCCCACCAGGTAAGACCCTCTGGGCTGGAGGGAGGGAAGTGGGGTGTTGGGGGAGCAAGGTCACCAAGGCAAGAAGTCAGGACTCAGGAGCCTCCCTGATGGGGGGAGGTGCGAGACACTGTGGTGGAAGATGGTGGGACTTGTTTGTTTTTGTTTACTCAATTCCTGCTTCCCTGTACTACACCCCGGGGGTTTCTCAGCTGGGAGCCCTGAGCATGCATGTCCATGGGGGGGGGGTGGTAGCAGGACCCAGGATATGGTACAGCCCTGTGTGTGCCCTATCTGTCCCTGCTAGGAGGCAAGGAGCCAAGATGCTCCCCTTGCCTTAGCACAGGGGAGTAGGGACGAAGTTCGAGGTCTGGGCAAGGTCCTGCATCCTTAGTGTCTTTGTTTGGGTCCCTAGGAGCTAGAATGTGTGTACCTGATGTAAAAGGGGGGGCTCATAAGGACCAAGGCTTGCGCAGTCAGTGCTTAGAGCCTGGGGGCCTAGTCAGACAGGAACACACACACTCCTCCTGAGAGAAGCAGAAAGTAGCCAGGGCTGAGAGCACCCCTAGAAGCCACCACTTAGGGGAGCTGAGTTGGAGACCAGAGGCATGGCCCTGTCTTCTCCTGTTGGATGTGTTTGCACAGACTGCAGGGTGGAACCCCACCCCTGTGAACGCAGGATGTTGGAGACGGTCAGAGAGCGTGACGGCAGTGCCCTGTGCTGGAGAGGGTCATCGCAGACCAACGCTGTACTGGCCTCACGCTGCCCCTTCTACAGGTGTGTCTGTAAGTCTGTGGCGGGGGCTGGGGGGCAGCTTCAGTTGCAGGAAGAACAGCTCTTTAAGGTCATGATGTAGGAGCATGTGACAGGGATGGGAGGAGACCTGGGAGGGAGCCAGGGACAGCACTCAGGGGAAAAGGGAAGGTCAAAGCACCTCAGTGTCAGCTTCATGGGTGACCAGGGAGATGGTACCACTACGTACCGTATTGGGTGCTGAGAGCACTGAGTGACTGAATACATAGAACACATTAATCTGGAGGCTTGTAGAAAGATGTCTGCATTTCAGACACTTAGTCATTTGGCTCATTCAAGAAATACTCACTATGTGAGTAGCTAAGATGCAGCTGTTGGTCTCCCCATATCTGGAGCAATGAAGAGTGAAGAAAATCTAAGAAGCAAGGAAGCAATTAGTCCAGAGGACTAACGGACCACACAATCCCCGGCCTCCACAGCCTGAGACCAGAAGGAACCAGATAGTGCCCAGCTACCTCTGCTGACTGCTCTGAAAGGGATCGCAATAGGATAAAACCCACTGCCACTGAGTCAGGTCTGACTCATAGTGACCCTATAGGAAAGAGTAGAACTGCCCTATAGGGTTTTCAAGGCTGCACATCTTTTTTTTTTCATTTCTGAGGTTAGCTGTCTTGTCTTTTTTTTTTTTTTTTAATTTTTGTCACTTGAAAGTTTACAAAGCAAATTCATTTCCTATATAGTAGTTCATTCACATTTTGTTTCATGACATTGACTGCAATTTGCCACAGTGTAACAGCTCGTTTCCATCGGGTGGATACGCTGCTTAGAACGATCAATCATGGGAGAATAGAAGGGCAGCATTTGCACGGGGAGACAGCTCAGGGGCAGGAATGCACAGGAAAGAAGAACACAGGGAAGAGGTGACTACAGGGAGGAAGTGGGACAAGGCTGTGCCTCTTCACAGAAGCAGACTGCCTCACCTTTCTCCCACAGAGTGGCTGAGGGGTTTGGACTGCCAACCATTTGGTTAGCAGCTGAATGCATTAACCACTGCACCCCTAGAGCTCCTTTACAATAGGATAGAGTGGGAGAAAAATGTAGAACAAAGCTCAAAATCATAACAAATAAAAAGATTAGGCTTACTGATCAGATAATAGAGACTGGCAGAACCCCCGAGACACCCTTCCAGCCTGGGACGGAACTCCACCCTGTGGCTCAACCATCTGCCAAATGGTAGGCAGACCTGTAAGGTGAACAGTAACACCAGGGAGGTATGCACTTCTAGAACAGTCAACGAGATGAGGTCAGAAGGGCAGCAGTTGCCCAAGGATACATCTGAGAAGGCAGGAAGTGGGTAGGGAAGGCAGACTCGTGGAGATGGTAACCAGAGTGGGAAGTGGAAAGAGTGTGGTTACATTGTGGGCACAATCAGTGTCACAAAACAAGATGTGTACGAACTGTTGAAAACCAGTCTGCTCTGTAAATGTTCACTCAAATCACAATTTAAAAAAAATCACTGGGGCCTTTCTGTGCCCCCAGCACTGTCTAGGGCCTGAAGATTCAGAGCAAACATCTCAGACATAAATGTGCCCTCTAGAGCTGACATTCCAAGGCCAGGGTGCAGGCAGTGAACAAAATGAATGCGTGAAGTCAACCCTTGGATGATGGTAAGTGCTGTGGCGAAAGGCAGAGCAGGACTGGGGACAGGGTGGCCGAGGTGGGTGTTTGAAGCCTGGCTGCCGTCTTAATCCCCGTGGAGCCGTGTCAGCAGTATCTGCCTGTAACATCGATTCCAGGTGCAGGGCTGGGTGGGGAAGGGGCGGGCTCCATGGAGCTTTCCGCTTGGACTTGTGGTTTGATGAGGTCATTAGGATTTGAAGCTAGAGGGGAAGATTGTCCTTAATGAGCTGGCAGCCTGGCAAACTTTCTGTTCCAGCAACTCCTTGAGTTCTTAAGTGACTGACTTGGCTTTTATCCTCAGTAGACATTTTACTCCAGAAAAATCCTGCCCTAGAGGTAAGCCCAGTTCACTTGTCCCTGGGGGAAAGCGGCCTGGGGTGGGGCCTTGTTGGAAGAAGCCCTCTTTGGAGAGCTTTGTTGGCCAAAGCCCAAGGAGAAGACACCGCTCCGGTGAGGCTATCCTTGGCGCTGTTACCAGACAAGAGGCAGGCTTTCCGCCCATGAGACAAGAGACCTCCCTGCTGCTGTAAGGCCTGTTATGGAGGTGAACCCAGAGGGCATGGGCTTTGGGATCAGGTGGTCGCATTTGGATCCCAGCTCTGCTGCCTTCTAGTAACTGTGACTTTGGGCAACCCCATTCAGCCCTTGGAAGCCATTTTTCATCTGTCAGATGGAGGTGGCTGTCTCTGCAGGTGACTGTGGATTCAAGGTAACAAGGGGAATGCCTGGCCCATGGAGGCCACCCAGCCACAGTGGCTTCTGTGTTGTTATAGAACGTTTGCATTCAGATGGACCTTGGAAGTTGAGTTAGGTGGTTTGTGAATCCTTTTGAGCAGCCCCACAGGGATGCTTGTTGTGTAGACCAGATAGAAGCAGTGCCTTTGGGATGAAAGGGGACACTGTGGCGATGAGGAGGCCTGGGCCCCAGGCCACTTAGTCCCCTTCCCCTCACTCCAAAGCCCCGAGGAATGTAGTTGAAAACTACAGATAGGGTTATTATATAGGAGAGGGACCTGAAGCCCAGAGAAGTAAACTCACTTGCTTGGGGTCACACAGCCAGAATCCAGTTGTCAAATTCCCAGTTTTTTTTTTTTTTTTTTTACCCCCACGGCCTCATGCTGGGCCCAGAAAGTAAACTGTAATAGAAAGCTGTTCCCACAGTTTGGAGTTTTGACCAGTCTTCCGTTAGGAGCAAACCCATTGCTGTCAAGTCGGTTCCAACTCAGTGGCCCCATGGGACAGCCCCATAGGGTTTCCAGTCTTTATGGGAACAGATCGCCAAGTCTCCCCACACAGAATGGCTGTGGGGGTCTAATCACTGACCTTTTGGTTGGCAGCTGAGTACTTAACCCTTGCACCCTGCTTTGTATTATGATGGCTGACTTACGTTAGTACCTTTTAAAAATTTTTCCATTGTCTCTAAGTGGTTCTAAACATTCACTATTCCATGTACAAATAAAGGTTGGGGTAGAATCAAGAAAGACAGTGACTCTGAAGAGGCTTCTCTGGACCTTGTTCTGCACTGGAATCTTGTATCAGATTTTGTGTTTTTTAAAATCACCCGTATTTCTGCTGTCCTCCTAAGCCTTTGATCTCCACCCTTTGCTTCCCTTTGTAGCAGGAGGAGAGTGTTCCTAAGCCACCCTGCTACCTGCTATAGGACCATCTGCCCAGGTACCATCTGTGGGATCTGCTTGCTCTCGGGGCCTGGGACCCAGGCTGGGTTTGTAAAGGGGCATTGACAGTCCTGGGGCAGAGACTGGGGGGCATGGACTGGCACCAGGAGAGAGGGATGGGCATTTAACTCCATTTCCAAGGCAGCGGGGTGTGTTCATGCCATACTCCCACCTTGCTCACAGCTGTGTTCTCACTAAGCACAGAGTGTGGGCTTTGGAATGACTTTCCCCAGCCTTTGCCCCCTGTGTTGATGAGAGGCAGTGAGGGCTGTGGACTAAGTTTTGCAGGAAGAAGGGCTCAGTCCAGTGCTGAACTGATGAGGAAGTGGATAAGGACCTCAGATAATGGCTGTGGGCAGTTCAGAATGGTTGTGGTTTCCTGAGAGAAATAGCGACTTTGAGTAGGCAATACCCGTAATTTGCATTTTGCATCCCAAACCAAATACTGTTAGCTCTTATGGAGTATGTTAGAGATTGAATTGTATCCCCCCAAGGATACAATGTGTAGTAAATACCTGTGGTTGGCTTTCTGATGTTAATGAGGATGTGTCTTAAATCAATCTCTTCTGATTAGGCTCAAGCAAGCCCAAACTGATGGGAAGACACATGCCACATGGTGGCCATGCGAACCTAGGAATAGAAGCTGTAAAGGGACAAAGACCTTCCCCCAGAGTAGAGAAAGTACCTTCCCTTAAACCAGAACCGCCAGCCTTCTGGTTAGCAGTCGAATGCCTTAGGTACTACACCACCAGAGCTCCTCTAGACTAACCAAAAACCAAAAACCAAACCAAACTCACTGCCCTTGAGTCAGTTCCGACTCATAGCGACCCATCCTTGGGTTTCTGAGGTAGTATCTCTATAGAAGACTAAACTTGGAGAGGATAAATGGTGTAATGCCTAAGGTATTTGACTGCTAACCAGAAGATAGGCAGTTCAAACCCACCAGCCACTGTGTGGAAGGAACATGGGGCAATCTACTTCCATAAAGACCTACCACCTCAGAAACCTAAGGGGGGGTCGCTATGAGTCGAAATCCACTCGATGGCAGTAGGTTTGGTTTTTTTGTTGGGTTGTAACAGTGCGAGATAACTGAGACAGAATGTTCGCTTTGTGCTGAGTGCCTGATGTGGGCTAATTCACTGGGAAGCTCAGTGGTCATCATCCTCCTCAAGATGAAGATATGCTCAGAGGGGCTTGTTGACGGGCCCAGTCAGCGGGACAGCCTGACTGACCCCCGGGTTGGAAGCCTCACTGCTCTGCTGCTCCAGCCCCAGTGGCTGTCGAGAACACCCACCCGTCAGACTTAGTGCAGAAATGGCTGGTGGGCCCTGTGGTGCCCCTGAGGCTTAGGATTCCTGCTGGGATCCCCATGCTTCTGAGATCTTTCTCCTTCCAGGCCCTGGGCCCCACATCAGCTCATTATTATCAGTACCCTGAGCTCCCCGAGGTTTCTCTGCAGCCGTGTGCTATTAAAGGGACTTGCTCCCAGGATGAGCCAGGAGCCAGGCTCCGTTGGCACAGCCTAGGGTGAGCCCTGTGATTCAAACTTGGGGCCTCACTAGGCTACCACTGTGCATCTGCCTTAGGCACCTGGTGCTGCTGTAACAACAATTCCTCAAGCCGAGTAGCTTTAAAGAACAGAAATGTTATTTTCCTAGTTCCGGAGGCTAGAAGTCTGAATTCAGGGCATGGCTCCAGAAGGTGGTCACCCTCTTTCCATTTGAGCTTCTAAAAAAGCCAAATTCTGACTCAGAGCAACCCTACAGGAGAGAACAGAACTGCCCCATAGGGTTTCCAAGGCTGTGAATCTACAGAAGCAGACTGCCTCATCTTTCTCCTAAGGAGTAGCTGGTGGGTTTGAACCATCAGCCTTTTGATTAGCAGCCAAGCACTTAACCACTGAGTCACTAAGGCTACTTGTCAGCTTCTAATAGCCAAGAGTTCTCGGTATTCCTGACTTTGTGGATTATTCTGCTTACGCCGTCAGATGCATCTGCCTCCCCCATTGCTCCCCATGTGTGGATGTGCATGTGTCTGTTCTTGTTGTTCCTATGGCTCAGAAGTGATTAGGGTTAGGGTCCACCCTGAGTACAGTACATTAGAGATTACATTGTGGCATGGGATTGCATGACACTAGGTATACCATAGGTATGGAGATTAGGAATCCAACACAGATTCTGGGGGGGACACCATTCAGTCCATCACAGAACCACTCCCAGCCCCTTGTCCATATACCTGCCAGTGCTTTCCCTGTCTACAGTTGTTTCCTAGGGGACCAAGGAGGAGAGGATGGGGCTGGTGGGCAGGCTGGCCTGCTGGACTCACACCTCCTGCCAGCCCCTCACTCCTCTGTGCTGCTAGGCTTGCTAGTTAGCGAACATCTCTCCAATAGGTCCTTGTGACTCTGAGCCCTGCCAGAATGGGGGCACCTGTGTTCCAGGAGGCCTGGACGAATACCACTGCATCTGCCCGCTGGCCTTTGGAGGAGAGGCCAATTGTGGTGCGTACACACGGGGCTTCTGAGACTGACCATCGAGCAGTGGGTACAGCATGGGTGTCCCCTTCTCGCCTCCCACCCTTTTAGCTACTGGGTAGAAACCAGCGATTGAGTTTCAGGGCCACCTTCTTTCCAGATAGGCCACTGCTCTGACTTGTCACAATGTAGTCTCTCAGTGCCCCATGAGTCAATAATCCACGTGGCAGAGCTCTGGGTACACTGGCCAGAGGACAGTGGCCCCTGGCTAATCGGTTTTAGACCAGTCATGGCTTGGTGTCTGAGCACCACTGAACCCAGCTGGAAGGACAGCTCTGGGTCCTGGGCCTGGGCAGAGTCCTTTCTCCCCTCTTCCATGAAAGAGCCTAAGGAGCCCCAACAGCTTTGGTTCTAAAGATCTGAAAGGAAGATTACAATAGGCTTTACCCCATAGGGCTGTTGGGAGTTTTAAGTAAGATTATGTATGTAAAATGCCCAGCACCATTCTGGACACATAGTAGGGGTTTATTAAATTGGAACTTCTGAAAAATGTGAGTCAGTCAGGATCCAAGTGGAAAAAACTAAATCTCAACCCCTTCGTCAAGGAGCCCTGGTGGCGTAATGGTTAAATGTTCAGCTGCTAACGGAAAGGTTGGTGGTTCAAGCCCACTCAGTGGTTCCAGAGAATAAACACCTGGAGATCTGCTCCTGTAAAGATGACACCAAGACGACCCTCTGGGGCACTTCTCCTCTGTCACATGGGGCTGCTATGGAACAGATTCCACAGCGCCCGACAACAACTACTTCACAACCTGTGCAAAAACTCATTCCAGATGGAATACAGCTCTAAAGGCAAAGTGATAGAGGACAACAGGAGAATATGACCCTGAGGTAGACAAAGGTTTTCTCAAACAGGACCGAAAAAGCAGTAACTGTGAAGGAAAAAAGTTATTAAATACATTTAAAATAAATAAAGTGGTCGATGGAGACCGCAGTGAGAGGGGCTCTGGGTGGCACGCTGCACTTGCTCTGTGACGTGCACTGTGGCCGATGCCCCTGAAGTCTGGGGGGAGGATTCTCTTGCTCTGTGTGGAGGCGGGTGTCGCGGGTGCCGCGGTGACGGAGGCTGTTACTCTGGCAGCCCCAAAGCCGAGCCTGGAGTGCAGGATCGACCTCCTCTTCCTGCTGGACAGCTCGGCGGGCACCACGCTGGAGGGCTTCCTGCGGGCCAAGACCTTCGTGAAGCGGTTTGTGGAGACCATGCTGGATGAGGACTCCCGGGCCCGCGTGGGCGTGGCCCACTACAGCTGGGAGCTGGTGGTGGCGGTGCCGGTCGGGGAATACCAGGATGTACCGGGCTTGGTGCGCAGCATCGATGGCATCCCCTTCAGGGGTGGCGCCACCCTGACCGGCGGCGCCTTACGGCAGGTGGCAGAGCGTGGCTTTGGGAGCGCCACCAGGGCGGGCCAGGACCGTGCACGCAGAGTGGTCATCCTGCTCACTGAGGCACGGTCCCAGGACGAGGTGGCCGGCCCGGCACGCCACGCACGTGCCCAAGAGCTGCTGCTGTTGGGCATGGGCAGCGAGGCCACGCGGGCAGAGCTAGAGGAGATCACTGGTAGCCCGGAGCATGTGATGGTCTACGCCGACCCGCCAGACCTCTTGCACCAAATCCCCGAGCTTCAGAGGAAGCTCTGCAGCCAGCAGCGTGCAGGTGACGTCCCGGGACATGTCGACTGGGGACCAGCCTCAGCCTGACCAAGGGGCTGATTGCTCGGTGGGTGGGTCGTACCTTCTTCCCTCCCAGGCTCTGGATCAGAGGCTGAAACCACAGTCCCAGTCTTTTACGTTCCAGCCACGTAACAAGTAATTGCTTAGTTTACTTCTCTGAAAAATGAGCCAAATAATAGCACCTCCAGAAGGATTCTTTGGGAAGATTAAGATAAGCAAACAACTTGGTACACAGTGTACATGTAATAAGTAAGCACTCAGTGCATTTTAGCTGTTTATTAATAGAGGAGTTCTGGTGGTGCGGTGGATAAATCACTTGACTGCTAACCAGAAGGTCAGTGGTTCAAACCTACCAGCTGCTCCGCAGAAGGAAGACAGGACCATCAATCTACTTCCATAAAAATTCACAGCCTCAGAAACCCAGTGGCTCTTGTGAATAATGCTGCAGTGAACCTTGGTGCACGCATACCTGAGTCCCTGCTTTCAGTTCTTTTGGGTAACACATAGGGGTATAGGGAAGGTACACGTGTAGGGGTGAAGTGCTGGGCCATGTAATTCTAAGCATTACTTTTTGAGGAAGCACTTTTTGAAGACATACCATGGAAGGTGTAGTTCCTTCCAATCACATCCCATTGGCTAAACTTTAGACACGTGGCTGTGACTACCTGCAAGGGAGGTTGGGAAATGTGGCCCAGCTAGGTGTTTGTGTGTCCTGCTAGCATTCTAAGAGAGTGGTGGTGTGTGACTAAGGGACGATGGGGAGGATGGCTGCTGCACTAGACAGTGACCTTGGCTCTAGAACTGTCCCCACTTTGCTGGCCTGGAGTGCTGGCCCGCCCCACCCATGGAGGTGTTCTCTCTGCTTGCCCCACAGGCTGCCAGGCCCAGTCGCTAGACCTGGTCTTCATGCTAGACGCCTCAGCCTCTGTAGGGCCAGAGAACTTTGCTCAGATGCAGGGCTTCGTGAGAAGCTGTGCCCTCCGGTTTGACGTGAACCCCGATGTGACACAGGTTGGCCTGGTGGTATACGGCAGCCGGGTACAGACAGCCTTTGGGCTGGACACGCATCCCACTCAGGCCGCTGTGCTACGGGCCATGAGCCAGGCCCCCTACCTGGGTGGGACGGGCTCAGCTGGCACGGCCTTACTGCACATCCATGACAAGGTGATGACCGTCCAGAGAGGTGCCCGGCCTGGCGTCCCCAAGGCCGTGGTGGTGCTCACCGGTGGTTGGGGGTCAGAGGACGCAGCTGTCCCTGCTCAGAAGCTGAGGAACAACGGCATCTCCGTGTTGGTTGTGGGTGTGGGGCCCATCCTGAGGGAGGCATTACAGAGGCTTGCAGGCCCCCGGGATGCCCTGATCCACGTGGCGGCTTACGGAGACCTGCGGTACCACCAGGATGTGCTCATCGACTGGCTGTGTAAAGGTGAGTGGGGGGGTCCACACCACACACAGCTGCCTCCACACACATCCTTACAAAGCTAGTGGCTCCTCACATCTGTGATAACACTTCACGTGCCAGGTTCTCCACCAGGCCCTGTGTCCCCACAATCTCCTGTGCTAGGCATGGCCATCCCCATTTGATGTTTAAGCTCAGAGAATTTGAGTAACACAAATGCCTCTTTCCAAAACTTGAGAGTTCATGTGTTCCATTTACATGGAAGCTGTCCTTGGGGTATCCACAGACCCCCCCAAGGGTCTAAGCTGCTGACCTCAGGAGTGAATGGCAGATGGGGTGGAAATACAGCCATGCCAGCCTGACTCCAAGGCTTCCGTTTGCCAGTGACAACCTTTCCGCCTTTTAAAAAGCATCTGACAATAACAACAGTACTAAGCACCACCTATGTACTCAGAGACAGCGCCTCCATGTGCATGTATAGGGATGGAAGCCTGGTGGGTATTGAGTCTTTGTAATGTAGCCTAGTGATACATATCACAGCCATGTGCTAAGCTGTTGCTTGAGGGCCACGGGAGACGCTGAAGTGTGCAAGCCATTCACTCTACTGTCTTTGGGGCTGACCCAGGCCGGGTGTGGTGGGCATGTTCTTTATTGCAGAAGCTAAACGGCCAGTCAACCTGTGCAAACCCAGCCCATGCATGAACAAGGGCACCTGCGTGCTGCAGAACGGGAGCTACCGCTGCGTGTGCCACGATGGCTGGGAGGGCCCCCACTGTGGGAACCGTAAGTGAGGTGCTCACTCTGCATGCATGAGCTGGGTGGGGGGCAGGGACATAGTCTGCATCTTACCAGGTCCCAGGTACGCAGTCGAGGAAGGCTCTTGAGTGTGTGCTCAATGAATTTATTTGTTCACTTGTGAAACACCTGTTGGGTGTCTCTTACATCCCAGGCTTTGTTCCAGGTGCTGGGATGTAGTAATAAACAGCCAAAAGCTCTGCCCCCATGGAGCTTATGTTTGGGGGGGGGGACAGGTAATAAGATAAGTATGACACATGGTAGACTAGACACCATTAGATGGTGCTAGGAGCCCGTGAGAGAACCCTGGCAACATGCAGGCGGGTGCGGATGGGAGCTAGGTTTAGATAGAGTGGCTAGGGAAGGACATGGGGAGGTGAATGGGTGGAGAATTCAACCTGAGTGATGGCCTGTAGGCAGGGAGTGAGCCATGTGCTCCAAGCAGAGGGAAAAGCAAGTGCCCATGGCCAGGGCAGGAGGCGGCCTGTGTGTGTAGCTGGAGTGGGGTGAACTGCGGGGAGCAAGGGATGAGGTCAGAGAGGTGACAGGCCAGTTGAGCAGGGCCTTCTGACCAGTATCAGGACTGTGTCTGTCCAGAGCCCAAAGGGAGCCCTTGGAGGACTGTGGGAGAAGAGTGGCATGAACTGATTTACCCCTCATGGGGTCACCATGTTGGGGGAATATGGTCCAGGGGGCTGAGGGCAAGATGACAGTTGCTAACAGTTGGAGCCATCCAGTTGAGAGGTGAGAACGACTCAGTCAGGGTGGTGAAAAGTAGCTAGAGTGTCTTCAAGGGAGAGCTGACAGGATTTGATGACAGATGGAATGTGGTGTTTGGGAAGAAGATCCATCAGCCCTGGCCCTAAGGATTTTGAGCATCTAGAAAAATGACATTCCTGTGAACTAAGATGGGGAGCCTGGGGGAGATTTGGGGGTAGAGATCTAGATCTGGAACTCTGCTCAGAAGGGGAGGTACCAAGTGGGGGAAGCAGGTAATTGGATGTGCTAATCTGGAGTTCAGGGAGAAGGGAGGGTTCTAGACTAGCTAGCAACTGGACAGTGAAGCCTTGGACAGAGGCTGCTTCCCTAAGGTCAGAGCATGGAGCTGAGTGACAGCTAGGGTGATTTGGCATCTTCTCTTGGTGGTTATAGGGTAAGAGCAGGACCAAAGAATAAAACCAACCAACCAGTTGCCATAGAGTCAGTTCTGAGTCCTGGTGATCCTACGTGTACACTGTGTTCCCCTGGGTTTTCAAGACCATGACTTTTCTGAAGCAGATTAAAAACCAAACTCACTGTGGTCGTGTGGATGCCAACTCACAGTGACCCTATAGGACAGAATGGAACTGCCCCACCCAGTTTCCAAGGTTGTTGATCTTTACAGAAACAGACTGTCACATCTTTCTTCTGTGGAGCACCTGGTGGGTTCAAACCACCAACCTGTTGGTTGGCAGCTGAGCACTTTACTGCATCACCAGGTCTTCATACCAAGGAACCTCTGGGTGGGTTCCAACCACCAGCATCTTGGTTAGTTGTCAAGCGCTTAACTGTTGGTACCACCAGGGACCCCAAAAGCAGGCCAGGGGCTGTTAACTGCATAAGGCAAGGTCTCAGGCTCTTGTGTCCTCAAAGTTTACTTCCTCCCCCCAGGGCTCGTAAGAGGAGGTGCCCCCAAGACCCAAGGCTCCCACCAGAAACCTGCAGGAAGGCAGCAGCTGCACCCCTCCAGGCAACCTGGGCACGCTAAGCGCTGAGATGATGCCGACCCTCCATGAACCATTCTGTCTCATGGGGCTCTGTGACTGTCCGCTTCAGTCTGTCCAGAACCTGCTGCTCCTTCCCCAGGAGGGAGAGTGCAGCTGAGCTCACCCCCCAATGACGATGTTGAAACTCTCTATGTAAGTATGTACTGATTTTCTGCACCTGGTTTGTGCTTCATCAAAGCATCTGTCCTCTGAGGAGACAGAAAATGGGAGACTGTAGTGGAATCTGCTGGCCTGTTGGCGGCTTTGTCTACAAAAGATGCTGAAGAGCATGTTAGAGGGACAGTCATGCCCCATGGAAGGTATTTACTTGCTTGTGACTTGGGCCACTGAGGCAATGGCATTTTCAGGCATAAAGTGGAGACTTCTTTATTGGGTGTATTTTCTTTTAGTTGAAAAGGGAGCTTTAATGGTATTTGTGACATTCTGGTGACTCAGTCTTCATGTGGAAGAGACTTGGTGAGACCCTAGACTGAATGTTAACCAGTGATTGACTGACTATGGGGAGAGGGGCTGAGGTTACAGATGGCCTGTGGCAGGTGGTGTGTAAAATTGGTCAAGAATCCAATATTCCCTTCAAGGGTGTCTTTTGCATTTTGTTAGGAAGAGGTCATGCTTCCCTTCCTGTCACCAGGATGAGGAGTAGAATTCTTTAACAAAAACAGGAGAGAAACCTACCAGGGTTTTGCTTTTCTAAGCAGAGAGCTTATGTTATCTGGTTTTTTTTTTTTTAATCTAGTTTTAAAAGGAATGTTTTAAGAGATGCTGTTATTTATTGAATGGATGTGTGTACTTACATGGCAAAAGGCTTATTTAGAGTATTTCTGGCAAATGGTGCTTGGCCCCGTGTTGAGAATAGGTTCTTCAGTGGAAACCCTTGTGGCCAGGGGGGTCATCATGGTTTTTATTTGTAAACTAAGTATGTATGTTATATACAAAAGTTCAAGATTACTTGGGTTTAAATACCACTTGGCTTTAAGAACCTTTAGTTTTCATTTCTGTTACTACACTGGCTTTTGAAGATAACATGAGGGCCAGGATGATATAGCCAGTGGTGATCGATGGTACAGAAAGTACATGAATTCAGGTCTTTATATAAACGATGGTCAGTCGTCTCGTGTAGGCACTTTGTACTGCCCTGCAGCAGGCTGATGGATGCCCATTCAAGTTGCTTGGACTTAAACCCAGGGACCCACAGTTGGTTATGTCTCAAAGGTCTTCAGTGTTGAGGTCTCAGCCCAACATTTGTGAGAGTCCCAGTGATGGTAAGGAGGTTCTGACCTTACTGCTTAACCAGCCCTTTCTCTGTCATACATAAATATATTCTCCTGTTAAACATTTCATGATTTTGTCTCTCCCTTTGGACATTTCCTTTGTCATTTATATTACGTAGGGCCTCTAGAAATACTGTTCTTAAAATTTGCTTGATTCCACAGATGGATTATTTTAAGAATGCCTACTTCTAATATATTTTCTAATTTATTTCCAAGTGTTGAACTTTGCATTCCTGGGATAAACTCTGTGGTTATGACTCATTAGATACACTCATGAATTGTTTGCAAAAGAAAAGCCAAATGCCATTTCTGGCCATAGACAAAAGTTGGGGTGTAAGAGCAAAGCTGGCTTTATAGAATGGAAGTTACATGATTCCTCAAACTGTATAATTTTTTCTTGCCAGTATGCATACTTACCTTTCTATTGAGCCAGGTTTTGTCATTTTTTTCAAAATGCATTTATGCTGTGACCCTCCTTAACTAGTACTGAGGCAACCTCCCAACAATTTTCTCAATTTACTTTTACTTAGGTGTGGTTAACAGCCCTAATGACTGATTTTTCAATTGCTCGTATACGATCCTACCAGCCCCTCTGCTTCCAGAAAGATTTACAGGCTTGGAAACCATCTGGGGGGCAGTTCTATTGTATGGGTGGTTGCTATCACTTTAAGTCAATGCAATGACAAGGGGTTTAGAGTTTGTATTGTAGTACAGGTTTGGAAGTTTAGTGTGTACATGGCTAAGATATGCCCTGAAATACAAGGAAAGCCCAAAGTACAATTAAAATTTTATTTATAAAAATCTAAGTCTAATTCCACACTTGGTAAAGGGGCCCCAAGGGTTGACAACAGAAGAGGGAGCAGCCCAGGGATGAGCCAGGAAGACCTTTAGTTCTCAGAGAACAGGGATTCAGAACTCCCAGAAAGGAGGCAGGAATGACAGAGAAAAAATACCACAAAACAGGAAGCAAAGGACAGCCCCCCCAAAACAGCATTGCCAATTTTGAGGGGACCCCCTTATCCCAAACTCACTCCCCACTTTTTCCTGGAAGGGACCTGGGTATAACTTGAAAAATAAGAATGAAAGGGAACATAGGAACATATTAAATAACCCTTAACAAGGGCCTGGCCACAACACTCAATCTGTAAACACATGGTGATTTTTTTTTCTTTCCATATAATACAGCATATTACTTACTGTCTAGAAGGAGTTGGTCTAGGTCTGGCCTTGACCCTAGCGGACAGGCCTGAGACACTTCCCCATTAGTTTCTCAAACAGGTACAGTCACTGTGGGCCTGTAAATATTGGAGAGGAGTGGAAAGCAAGGGCAGTTTCACCCTCCACACTGTAAGTATGGGGGAAGAGATGACAGGTATGAGCCTGGGTCTTCTCAGTCACACAGCCACCTACACGTGGACAAGGACTCACTACCAGTTTCTGTGCCACAGAACCTTTCCACTTACAAATCCTGTTGATGGAAACTTCAAAGAAGTAGTACATACAACACATACATACAACAGTGTTCTTGGGTCCATCCAAGAGCCTGACTTCTCAAGGACACCTTCTTCCCTGTATTTTTTCTCCTGGGACAGAGCCTTCCCTTAGCCAGAGTCCTTGATTTTTCTTCTAAACAGACGCACCCTTTCCCAGAGTTGCTGCTTTAACGAAGCAGGATTGTCACCAAGGTCCGTAGCATGATAGTCCTTAGATGATGCTTGGTTCCTAGCTTGCTCCCTTCTTCTCCCATTCCTAGGGTACCATTCAAATACCAGCACCCCCAAAGAAAAAGAAAGTTACTCCACTGTAGCAAATCTTAGATGCATTCAAAAATGTAAACATGGACCAAATAAGTGAACAAATCTGGAACAAATTTTTTTTTAAAGTTGCTGTAAATTTTTTTTTAAAGTTGCTGTCTGGAGGAACCCAGTGAGACTAGGGTCCCTGGCTGCCCTTCAGGTCTGGAAGAGAACCCACTCCGGTGGCTTCCAGCCCAACAAAAGACAGGCATATGAGCTGAACATTTAGCTGCAGTAGATACACTCCTTGGAGAGGACAATCAGGGGAGAAAAAAAGGGCTGTGTATGCTCAGGGAGCAGGAGTGTATGGAGGGATGGACACAAGGAAGAGGTAACTATGGGGAGGACTATGGGGAGGAAGGGGAGCTGTTGCATTGTTGGAAATTATAGTCAGTGTGTGAACTGTAACTTTCACCCAAATCCCAGTAAAAAAACCCAAACTCAATGCTACTGAGTCACTTCCTACTCATGGCAACAAGTCCCCTAGGGTTTCCAGACTACCTCGTCTTTCTCCTGCAGAGCAACTGGTAGATTTGAACTGCTGATGTTTTGGTTAGCAGGCCAGTGCCTTAACCACAGCACCAGTAGATCTCCTTGAATATCTATGCAGGTAGGATTCATGCCTGTATACATATACTTTAAGTGTAGCAGCGAGGCTCAGTGGCCTACCACTTCCACTGTGGATTTGATAGTCACGGGTGGAGCTGCCTCAAAACATCTTCAGCAGGTAAGCACAAGGGGATGGAAAGTAAGGAGTCTGCCAAAAACCAGGACAGCTCCAGGCATGCTCTTAATTATATAAATGAGCAAAGGATTAATAATACTTTTCATGTAATCCTTGGGGGAAAAACCCCGGCATTTCTGGTTTAACTCCTAGCTGGCTGGGCAACCTCAGTGGCAGAAGGTCTTTAGGAGCATAGAGCTTTTCATTTATTCAATCTGTCCCTGAACTCCTCCCCCCACCCAGAGTCAAAAGCAGCAAGGCACCACCTTGGGGACAGCTCCACTAGCCCTGGAGGAGGCCGGGAGTGACTGCTTACCTTGGCTTTCTGGAGGACAGTGCCTTTGCCTGTGACCATAACTGAAAGAGGTCTGTTCTTGAGGGCTGTTGCTGAGTTGACTGGGGTGCACTCGGGGACAGGGGTGGCAGCTTTGGGCTGTGGTCACAGGAGAGCAAGGGCTAAATCGAAGGGAGGGATGATGGGATCCAACCCCCACCAGGAGGCTCCCCCAAGTTGCCCAGAGGAGGCCTGGCCCCTGCACTCACACGGGGGTTGACACTCTCCAGGTGAGTGGTATCCACAGTGGTCCCCAGTGTCACGGGCCCAGCCTCAGCCTTCTTGAGGTTGGCCTTCACCTCCATGATGTTGAGCTCCAAGTCCACCCGTCTGTGCTCCTCACTCCTGCACTCCTCCTCTATCTCCCTCAGCTTTTGCTCTAGGCCAGCCAGGGCACCCTTGTCTGTGGAGAGAAGGAAGCCCTATTGGATGGCAACAGGCCTCCAGCTGGGTCTGGACACTGGGTCAGGTTCTAATACTCAAGAGTTGCAGTGGGAAGTCTCAAATCCAGAATCAGCATTCTGCAAAGGCTGGGGAAGGCTCTGGCAGAGGACAGGTCTGTCTGCACAAGAAGGCATGAGTCTGAGGCAGGTCTTCTAAGTTCAAACAGGTTCAGTCATGGTCAACAAGGTACAATCAGACCTAACGTTCTTACTTCTGGGTGAGTTATATAGCCCAGAAAGACTGTTACATCTGAAAAAGGCAGCCTGTACCTTTAACCTCCTTCCCTCTACACGAAACTTCACACACATCAGCTGGGTTGGCATCTTCATGCCAGCTCTACTTATTACAGCTGTGCAGTTTACATATTAACTGAGTGTGAAAAGTTACTCTAGAAAAGCTGTGTCTATAAGACAAGTTGCTAGGGACAGCTGTCCCACAATGGGAGGAGGATCCAGATTCTTTGAAGAAGCAAAGACTAGAAATTAAGAACTGTGCATCCTGGGGGTGGTTTTTGCAGGAAAGATGACCTGGAACTCTAGCAAGCTGGCCCCATCATCAAAAAGTGAGCTAATGAAGAAAGGGTTAGACTTCATACGTTTGTCTTAAGTAAAACATCACTTTAAAAAATCTCCTTTACCCAGCTTTTGTTACTACTTCCTGATCCTAGTGACATCAGGTCAGAAGGGTCTCTGTACAGGGCAGCAACAGCCCCAACAGGATACTGAGTTCCAGAGAGGAAGGTCCTGCTCTGTCAAAGTTGAAGGGGTGAAGCTGCACAGATTCCCCCCAATCTTTCCTCCAGAAAGTCCAAGCTCAGGAGCTGGAGGCCCACCTGTGGCCTTCAGGACAAGGAGGCATCTTCCATCAAACACAAGAACAGGGCCACTGAGTCAATTCTGACTCGTACCAACCCTATAGGACAGAGTAGAACTGCCCCATAGAGTTAGTTTCCAAGGTTCTACTCTTTAGGGAGGCAGACTGCCTCATCTTTGTCCTGCAAAACAGCCAGAGGGTCCCAACCGCTGCCCTTTGGGTCAGCAGCAGCATTGCTAACCCCCGTGGCCCCAGGGCTCCTGGGAGGCCCCTTACCTGTGCACTTTAACAGGGTCTCTTTCAGCTCCCGTTTCTCCTTCCGAAGCTGAGCCAGGTGGCCCCGGATTTCTTCCTTCTTCTTTTCAAGCTTCTCTTTCTCCTCTGTGTACCGTTTCACCTCCACTTCTGTCCTGTTCTTGCCAAGTTTGATCTCTGTAGACGCAGAGAGATCCTCAGGTCAGCGAGGCTGGGGACACAAGGGCTGTCTTAAGGATGGTCTGGCCCTGAGCAGGTCAGAGCTAGGAGACCAGAGCAGCCCCACCTTTGCTGAGGGACCGTGGGCAAGTCCCTTCACCTCTCCATGAGGAAAGGAACCAAGGTGCCATCTCTAAGCCATTTCAAAATCTTGGGACAAGCACCTGTACTGACTGCCCGCAGCCTGTCCCTCCCAGGTGAGCTGGCAGCTGTGGGGGTCAGGGTCACAGTGTCAGGGCAGCTCTGAGGGAAGGAGATTCTCTGCCCTTCAGTCTGGATCTTGACAGTGGTGATTCTCAGAGAGAGCTCCTCAGGTTCTGGACTCTCCTGCAGCCTCTGCTTTGAGAGAAAGCGAACATGACTCAGGCAGCCAGAGGGCCTGGGAAGGGAGGGCCAGCACAGCCCCAGGGAGGCCACTACCTGCTCCTCAGGGGTCGCTGCAGCCTGCATGCAGGGCTCATCTGGGGCAGGCCCTGGGTCCACAGGGAAGGCCTCAGCCGGGCTGTCCAAGCAGAGCAGGGTTGGGGAGGAGGCCAGGGCACCAGCAGGGCCAGGGAGGAGAGACTTAACAGGTGTGAGGTCCAGGTACACTCGGTCAGGCTCGCTTGCACTATGAGCATCTATCCCTGGGGGGTCTTCCTCAGCGGGGTCCACCTGCAGAGGAAAGTAAGCAAGACAGGACTTTCCCCGCCACCTCCTGCCAGAATTTGAAGGGACCTCCCTCCCGGGACCCCCCTGCTGAGCAGGAGTGCAGCAGCCTGGATTTGCCACTAGGAGGCCCAGGACATATTACTTCTCTTTACAGATCAACACAAAAGTTTTAGCAAAGTTAAGAGTGGTACCTCTCTATAATAAAGTGGATCCAGGTCAATGAGCTGATGCACATGGAGCACGCCCCGCCCCCTCCCCCCGCCCAGGCATTCAGTGCCCAGGCCCAGCAGTCACTCAGTACGATGATTCCATCCCAGCCATCAATTTGGGCTAGAAGATGAATAGCATCACTAGCCCCAGCCCTGACCTGGGCAGCTAAGCAGCTGTCTTATCCACACAAGTCCCCAGGCCAGGTGGCTGCCACAGCCCCAGCCAATGAAAGAGGACCTGCTTCATCTAGGTTTCTGCTTGAGTGGCCATGGAGGTGAACCCAGAACCTGTCAGCTTAGGGACAATCTAAGGGCATCTGGCTTTGAGGCATGGGTGGCAGGAGGAGGAAGGGGGCCCTCACCGCTGCCGTCAGCTCCGACATCTCCACGTCATCATACAGCTCCTCCTGCCGGTCCTGGCAGGGCAGACCATCGATGTACGTGTTGGGTTCTGAGAACTTTCTCTGCATCAGTCTGCAAGACACAGTGTGATGAGGGGCTCAGGGCAGGGAAAGCCACATCTCAAAGGATTCCGAACAGTGAGGGCACAACGCAAGCTGGAGGCTACACAAGGACCTGGCACCTACCGCCAGCTGCGGGGCAGTTGGTTCACTTGGGGAGAATCTCCCCCAGGTGCCACCTTACTAGAACTCTTGGGATTTCTCTTGCAGGGAAGGAGGAAGGAAGAAAAAAAAAAAAACATTCCCTGCCCTCTCTCTCCTTTTGCCAGCACCTCTTCCTCATTCCTAGGTGAGGACCTCCTCCCAACCATAAAGTCCCTTCTCATTTCATCCTCCCAGTAGCTTGGGCCACAGTAGTCTTCCCATCTGGTATATAAGGAAAGGGGTCCATTTCAGCAGCAGGACCAGCATCTACCAGCTGCACCAACCTAACTTGGGATGTACCCCTGGAAAGCAGAAGGGCCAGCCCAGCTCAATGCAAGGGTGCTGGGGATGGAGTGAGGGGCCCATGGGAAAGTGCTAAGTCAACAGGAGGGCTGCACAGGAGGTCTGCAAAGCAGCAGGCTCCACCAGAAGAAGTTGGAGAGCATATTCCCCTACTCAGAGATGCGGGGACCCAAAGCCTGGCTCAGCTTCTAACTCTTAGGTGAGCCTCCCTGAGGGCTACTGCTTGGACACAGCCTTAGCCTCATCCTGCTGCTGGGTGGAACAGCACTGAACCCAGTCTTCCCAGCTGCCACCCCACTGCAAGTGACAGCCCAAGGCCTCTCCAGGCCTCGAAGCATGGCTGGAAAGGAACAGGTACAAAGCAGAAGGCCCATGAACACTCACAGGAGAGAGTTTTTGGCTGCAGTCACAATGCAGGAAACCCTGTCTGCATCCACGTAGTCGTAGGTGAACTCCTCTGGGTTTGTCTTGGAGCCTGACTCAGAGAGCAGGAGGCCCAGCCAGTGGCCCATCTCCTCCGAAGACTTGGCCTGGGAAGGAGGCCAAGAGTCCCGAGCTGGGTGAGGTGTTCCAGGCTGGCGCCCAGCCTCTCCCCACTAGGCCCACCCCAGGCAAAGCAGCTGAGGGGGCCCACACCCCTCCTTGGACCAGCCTATCTCATCCCCTACAACAATGGTAAGGATGGCACATTTGGTTGTGTATAGTGTCACTATAGGTCAGAATTGACTGGGTAGCATGTAGGGACTCCAAATAATGCTTCCTGCCCCCAGTGCTACCTGGATTCACCTCGGTGACACTGGACATCAGTGATTTGATATACTTATGTTCCAAGAAAGCTACTGGGTTGGAGAGAACTGTTAAAACTGCATTTATCTTTAGGTTGGCACTTCTATTTTCTGAACTATCATGTGTCAGCACTTTAATCCATGTACACATGGTTGCCTGGATCCCTGCTAAGAAATAACCAAATTCACATGTACTGTCATTGATGGTTTTCAGGATGTTCTAAATATCTTAGGTCAACCAGCTCTGATAAATCAAGAACCAAATCCCAGCAGCTGTGATGCCTTCTAATCAACTATCTACACCGGGTCCATGCCATAAAATGCAGGTATCACCTGTGACCTTTATAAGAGAAGGCTAGGCATTCCCTGTAAGCTAGAGGGTTATTTTCAGGAGAACACATCACCACTGTGGTAGCATCATCCAGCACGGCTTCACCACCCTTAGTGCTACATTACAGGCAGTGACAAGTTAAGAATCTGATGTGTATCTGGCTGCCTTTTCCCATTTCAGGTGGATTTCTCCACACAACTCTCACAAGCACCACTAGTTCCAACTGCCACCATCTCTGGCCTGGTAACCAAAGTGGCTTTCTAACGCGTCACGTGTCCCTTTTTGTCGCCTTCCTGTCTGGCCAGCTGGAAGCAGTAACTACTGCCATCCCACAGACACTTTGCTCTGTTGGGTCTCAGGCCTGAGCCCTTCCCTGCCCAACCTCCTCACCCCTCCCCTCTCTACTACTTTCCAGAACTGCAATTAACTAAGTAATTGGGTAGGTGAATAACATACTCATCATAGAAAAAGTCCATGAGGGCAGGGACAGTATCTGTCTTGTTCACCATCCTACTGTGTTCAAGCAGATACTGAACATGGGATGGATACAGTTTCCTGAGGGCCTGAAGCTATTGCAATGTAGCCCTTTGACCACCAGAGAGCAGCATCAGAGCGTAATTTGGATGAAGACCCCTGGATAACGTGAACTGCAGTGTGCGTGTAAGGGCACTACAAGGCTCCTGCCTACCCCGGCTCTGTGCAAGGCAGTGCCATTTCTTGATTTTGTAAACATCACATTGAAGTGGGCAAAGTACAATTGTATCACAAACCTATAAGCTCTAAACAGGTATCATTTAGACTTGTCTTGTGACTCAGACTAAAGTAAGTCCACTCTGACTTTCCAGCAGCTCAGGGAGTTATAAATTCTTCAGGTCCTGAGTGCAGGAAGTAGCTCATTGTCCTTCACCTATAACCCCACCCTGAAGTTGGAAAGGAAATGGAAATAAATAATAAAAAAAAACCCACACACACTCATGCAACACCAAGGAGAAACAATGTGGAGTGACAGTCACCCTTTGTAGGAATTGCAGCAAATCACCACGAAGCCCCCAATCCCAGTGACCGCGTCAGCCCCACAGGCCCGCAGTACCTCAAGTTTGACCAGCTCCTCCCCGTCCTGGAGGATGCGGAAGGAGTAGAGGTGGTCTGGGCTCGGATCTGGCACCACCTCGCAGCCCACCAAGCAAAGAGGTTGCTGGGCAGCCTTGCTCCTGTTCCGGTCCTGGTAGAAGTGCAGGTGGCTGTCCTTGACCAAGCACCAGCGTGGCCTCCACTGGCTGTTCACCAGGACATTCAGGTAGCCTGCAGGGGGTGGGGGGCACCGCTACTGGAGGGCTCAGCAGTGGAGGAGGGGCAGTGCCCCGCCCCCCAGGAACCCCTGAATCTCAGTCATGTCTTCCTTGTGGAGGCAGCTAGACCCAGAAGGCAGTAACACACCAGTGCTGGTTTTAGGACAAGGTGGTCCAGAGAGAAGTGAGGGGGTCTTTGATGAGCCCAGACTCCATGGGTGCCCAGGACAGGGTCCTGCAATTCTAGGCCACTTCCTCACAGCTCGAAGGGCACAGCCCTGCAGCAGTCCCATGTCTTATGGAACTTAGGCCACCAGGCCAGGAAGCTCACCCTGGCCCGAGGCCCCTGGCTACAGGCTGGAGCCTGCTACCTCCACACCTAGTTTCCTCAGCTCCCCTGGGTCCTGCGTGCCTTGCTCAGCCAGCCTTTAAGAACACTTGGTTTCTGTCTCCATGTCTACCTCCCCAAAAGGACACACGAACTTCACAAAGGCAACACACCATCTGCATTCTTAGGAGCAAGGGGAATCAGGGTCTAAAGGCTGGGGCTCAGGGCCCAAGCACCGAGTCCTGGGAAGGAGAGCCGTTCTCTGCCCTGCCCACTGCCACAGGGGACCGGCTTGCCTAGATGCCGAGAGCAGAGTTCCAGCAACAGCCCAGCCACAGCTCCCAAACAGTGACTCACTGAGACCTGGCCCACTGCCGAGGCTGCAGGGCTGGCAGAGTCAGGCCACAGAAGCAGGAAGCTCCAAAGGTAAGGCCCCATCTGCTGCCTTCCCACCCTCACACAAGAGAATTTCACTGGGACTCAGGAATGAGCCAGGCTTGAGGGGAGCTACAGCAGTGAGGCTCAGGTTGGGAGCAGGACCCTAGGCTCAGCTCCTAACCCCAGGACATTATCTGGGGAGGGCCCCTATCAAATATGACATGTGGACAGTGGAGGTGACCTCCCAAGAGCCCACCCTGGGTGCCAATACCCATATACCCCCTAGATGCCAGCAACATGGCCTCCTCATCACACCCCGATGGATCTCACCTGTCCCCATCTCAGAATCTTTACTCCTGCCACACAGCACCACCCTCTAAGGCTCATGGTCATAAAGCATCCTTCCCCACAAAGCCCCCTCTGACCACAGAGCAGGCTCCTTTAGTCCCCGAGTTTTTATAACTACTAGGATGGCACACTGTGGTTACGGTATAAGGCCATCATTCTCTCCTGGGCCGTAAGCTCTCATGACTATGTCATCCTCTGCCTGTTTCATGATGCCTGACACTTGGTCCTTGCCATGCTCCATAAATACTGATCAAAGGAATGTAACTTATAGAAACATTGGGAGGACACGAGTCAGTTACCCTCATTTCCACAAAGGGTTAAGCCTTGCAGCAAAGTGGACTCTTACTAGGCACAGAGAACCACCTTCAGTCAAGAGAAACAAGTATCTGAGGACTGAGGGCTCTCCGTCCCTGGAAGGGTTAAAGCAAGACCCAAACCCTCTGCCCTGGCCCCAAGCTCATCCTCCAGCATGCAACTGGGACTCTTACTGGCTGTCTCAAGGGACTTCTCTGGAGGCTCCAGCGAGGTGGACTTCTTCCTGCCCAGGTTCATGAAGTTGCTTAGTTTGAGGCCAGCAGAACATTTCTTCTTGACTGTCAAGAGGGCGGAGAGAGCTGTCAGCAGTGCACACAGCCCACCGACACGCCCTCACCAGATGATGAGTGGCAGCCTTGTTCCCACCACACCCGTCCCTACACACATCGTTCTGCTCCCCAGTTGGGTTCCACAGAACACACATCCCGTGGAGAATACCTAAGCACCTGAGGATCTATATCCACCACCTTGGTTAAAACATGTTGAAGGGGATTAGCAAACAAGAATAAATATAAGAATATTCTATCCCAAGCATTTCGTGACATGTGATTTCAATCTGCTCACTTTTCCCTTTTACCAGCCATCTCGGAATTCCAAGATGGTGCAGAGAGTTAATGCTGCTAGCCAAAAGGTTGGAGGTTCAAATACCCCCAGAGCTGTCTAACAGGAAGAGCCTTATGATCTCCTTCCAAAACACTGATCCTTGAAAACCCTGTGGGGCACAGTTCCATGCTGACACATCAGACTCAACTTGCTGGCACCCGGTGGTGGGGGAGGGGGGTCAGCTGCAGCATTTCCAAGTAGTTTATAAATTGAAAGCAATGTTAGAATCAGGTGCTACAACTTACTATAGCTGAGCCAGACAGACAACTCTCCCACCCAGGGCTGTCACCCCAGCCCCGACCAGGAGGCTGAGGCACAGGGCTGTTACCGTCTTTGGTCTCTGGGACCTCAGTGTGTCCATCCACGGGGCCTCCATACTCAGAGGCTGGCAGGTACTTCTCAGCAATGTCCAGCTGGGGAAAAATAATAGTGGGGTGATCACTGGCTGGAAATGGTTACCCCAGAGACTGCAATCTGGGGAAAACTAGGCAAGGGGTCTTGGGTGTATGCCAGAGGCAATGTGACCACCCCGTCCCTGTCACCTGGAAGGCAATCCAGGGCACTGATGGGACATGGGCCAAGCTACCCATGGGGCCTGAGAACAGCTGCTCCAGCTGCCTTCCCTGCCCCTTACTGAGGTTCCCTGGCCTGTCCCAGAGCACCTGCTCCTCTTCAAAACACACCCCCATCCTCATTCACAGGTTCTCTTGGGAGGTCACCTCCACTGTCCACATGTCATGGGCCAAGACAGTGGCCCTCTAGGTAACTGGAGGGTGGCACAGCTGAAGTAGACTGTCACACTGGGAGCTACCACCCTGGAGGCGATGGTCTACTGACAGCTGACTCTGCTACCCGAGGTGAGACCACAGCTCTAGCACCCTTCAGCCACAGTGTGCCTTAGGAGCCTTGCTCCACTACGTGTGAACTAGAGATGACATCCCAGTCTGCACTCACTGGGTTCTTATACAGACGACAGACAGTGCCTAGAAGAGCACAGCTACAGCTGCCGTTAGCACTTGAAGCTTCCAGAATCTTCCAACCAAGCTTCTAGAGAACCACCTACCCCAGACCTCTGGCACAAAAACCAGCCAATAGGATCTCAACCCACAACCTGCATGGGCAGGAACTGGAGACTGGAGGTGCCCAGCCAAGGAAGCCCTGCTCACCAAGTCTTTAGCAAGGGATCTTATCTTTCACCTCAATGTGAAGGTACCCCAAGTTCATTCTGACTTTAGTTTTCTTGTCAATAATCAAGGAATGATTGAGACAAATAGAACATCAGCCTGCCTCAAGTTCCTCCTCTGGCAGGACCAGGGATGTTTCTCCCCAGGAGATGCAGCCTGTGCCCTCCAAGAACAAAGGGCCTGCTCCTTATCTAGGCGCTCTGGTTCCCTGTTGATTTCTTCCCTGCCAGGAGTGGGGACCCTGAGATGAGGCCCAGTGACCCTCTGGCTGCTCTGTGCAAGCCCAGGTCTTAGGATACTGACCTGCAGAGACGGGGGACACAGACTGGGAGCCCACAGGTGATGCCCCACCCCTTGGCCAGCAACCAACCCAACTTCCTCCACCCTTGTCTCCTAGGCCAAACGCCCCAGCCAGTGAGCACTAGAGCCCTTTGGGCGGGGTCAGCGCCAAGACAGTCACTCAGAGGCCAGACTGGGGAGTAAGTGGGAAGAACACCTCAGAGAGTAAATCCTTCTGCTTTGGCATGTGGGCCAAGCCCCTTACGTTCCCATAAAGCTTCCACCTCAAGCAAGAACACAGTCTGAACGTGTGCATGCTCTTCTGATGTCCTGCCAAAGCTTATCCAAGCCTTGCAGCTTCTTTAGTCATTGGGCTGAGATATAAAAAACATAGCTCCCAACTTACACTTTTTATGTTTATAGAGAAAAAAGGAAATGCGACCTCCTCCGGGAGAGGCTTACTTTCTGACAGTTGAGGCGCTGGGCATCTGGGACGCATGGGTACCCCTCTGACATGCCCTCAGAAGGCAGGCCGCTTACCTCCTGGATGACCTGACAGGAGAAGAGAGGTGTCAGGGAAGGCTGCAGCCCCACGAGTCCCTTCTGGCCTGCACAAAGAGCCCGACTCAAGGTCAAAGGGAGTGGGTGGAGATGAAAGAGACGATGCTTGATTTCCAGGGAACAGAGGACCACCCCTCTTCCCCCCGCAGCCCCAGCGCTCACTGCAGTGGGGTGGACTAGGGGCAGGGCCGTTGTAGCAAGCTCAAAGCTGGCCAGAGAAACCAGTCCTCAGCTCTAGAACTGTCTCCCTGCCCGTGTTAGCCATCATCCTGGGCAGGGTGACTGTTCCCTTGTAGCCTGGATAAGCAACCACATTTACTGACGGTTCCCTGGCTTGGAGGCGTTCATCCACGCTGCTTGAGAAGCTGGCCTGTGAACTGAGGCTCCCACAACCAGCTCACCAGACGGGCCAGCTACAGTCCACCCCGCCCCTCTGTGGGGAGGAGCTTTTTAACCTGCACCCAAGAAGGGGGGATCTGGGGGGCAGCTGCAGGAGGTCAGAGGGGGCTCTGACCCCACAGAGCAGCAACCTTAGGGATCCCCAGAGGATGTCAGCCTAGGGCAGTCCCAGCACACCATTCCTCCACATCAGTGATGTTCCTTCCTCAGTGCCCACCCAGCACAGGGGATGGAAATGGGTTTAAATGAGAAGAACCACAGAACAAAAGCAAGAAAGATTCTGGGTGAGGTCATCTCAGGGCAGTGTTATGTATCAGAGCTGGGACCCGGGTCCTCACCTAATACACGGCACACTGCACTGGGAAGAGCAAAGGCTCAGGACAGCGTGTCACCTGATGACCTTGGACTCAAGCTTCAGCTGCCGCCTCTGTGAAATATGACAGTGCCTAGGGCACGGGGGACTGTGCTGTGGGGAGCAGAGCATGTCAAGTGCTCAGCATAGGGGAGCGTCTTTAGCAGCCAGGGCCTGGAGTCATGATGTCCCTGCTCAGTGTCTAGGCTCGAGGGCTGGGGTTTCCATCCACCCGAACCTTCCTCTTCTGGGACTCTCCTTTCAGTCACAGCGTCTCCCAGCTCTGTCCCTGAGCCTGTGGTCCAGACGTGGTTAGGCTCTGTAAGAGCCAGGAAGGGAGGCCCGTTTCAGAAAACTAGTGAGGCTAGGCTAACAGGCCACCTAATAGGCCACCAGCCCCGTCAGCTCCAAGAGCATGCAGCTTCTCTAGGGGCACTCACAGCCAAGCTCACCCCCGCAGTTCACCAGAGCAGGGAGGCACAGGGTCTCTCTATGCAGCCAGGAAAGAAAGGTTGCTTGTTTTTGAAACCACCAGCAAGACCTGTGGGGCAGGGGTCTCAGGGAGAGGGCATGGGAGTTTGGGGAGGGAAGCTGGGGTGAGGGGTAGATATGGGTGTGAGGAAAGAGGGAGGCAGGGGAGAGAGAACGCGAGAGCGAGCAAAAGAGAGTGCACGCGGTGAGGAAGGGCCGTCATGGAGACTGGGCCAGCTGGGACAGGGGACAGGGGACCTGGACAAAAGAAGGGAGTTAGAAGCCAACCCACAGACCATAGTCACAGGAGACATCAAGCTCAGTTGGCATAACATACTACATAAAACATTGTTCCACCTCCTACTGTGGTGTGTAGTGACTGAGATCTTAAAAAGCTTGCAAGCAGCCAACTAGATGCAATGATGGGTCTCTCCTCGTCCAGAGCAGAGAAGAATGAAGAAAACCAAAGATTCATGGAAACAATTAGTCCTAGTGACTGGTACACCATGACATCCTCAGCCTATATGACTATGAGACAAAAAGAATTAGATGGTGCCTGGCTATCACTGTCAACCACTCAGAGGGGGGATCTCTGTAGGAGATCTTGGATAGAGAGGGGGAACAACATGGAACAAAACTTAAAATCATTTGAGGGGTATTAAAAAAAAAAAAAAAAAAAGGAGGGGGGAACAGATTTGCTGGTCTGATAGAACCAGTGAGACTATGGCCCCTGGTTGCCCCTTCAGGTCTGGAACTGAAACCACTCCTGTGGCTTCCAGCCAAACAAAAGACAGACATATGAGCTGAACATTTACACGAGGTAGATACACTCCTGGGAGAGAACAATCATGGGAGCATAGAAGGGCTGTGTATGCACAGGGAGACAGCTCCGGAGCAGGAGTTACAGCCAAGAAAACCCTAAGAGGCTGTTCTAGTCCATCACGTGGGCTCGCCGAGACACAGAATCAGCTCCCTGACACCCAGCAGCAGCAACAGGCCTTGCAGAGCCAACATTCTCTCAGGAACCTCCCCCGAGATCTGAGGACCACAGATATGCATCATGGTGCACTCTTTCTGCATCCACGCTGTTTGAAGCCACCTGAGAAATTTGCAATATGGACTGAGGGGCCTTCCACTCCTCCCAGGAGCTTGGCTCTGAGACAGACTGGGCCAGGTATTCGCAATACATTTAGTGGATTCACAGAAGCAGCCCCCAGCCCCCAAATCTGGGGGACTTAGCTCCTGGGGAGGGCCAGGACCTCAGCAGGTACAATTTTCAGCCTTGCTTTTAAGAAGGCAGTGCTAGTGTGCTGCGGTTTGCAGAGCTGACGGGCTCATCAAGGTGGTTAGGTTTAGTTGAAGCAACAGACACGGGGGTAGACAGGGGTTAGGCTCTCACACTGGAAATGCATCAGTGTGTCAGTGATGGGGCAGGGAGCAGCGGGAAGGTGGGAAGAGCCCCTGCTGGCCCTTGATGGCCTTACCAGGACCCTGCTGGGTATGGAGGCCTCTCTGGAACCTTCTAGGTGCAAACCTCATACCCTACTGAATCATCAAGTTACCTCTAATAAGTACTAGGCGAGCTCCCTCCCCAGACACTTCATTGTCGTCACTCTGTGCATTTGTGGTTGAAAGCAGAGGACATGTGGTCAAGACAGTGCTGGGTTTGGAACTTAACCTCACTTGCCAGGTCACCTTGGGCAAGTCACCCCCTCCCTCCAAGCCTTAATCTTCACTCCCGTAAGCCAGGGACATTGTCCCCTAGTATGGTCGGGAGGACTGAATTTGCTATAAAAGTCCATGGCCTGTGGTAAGTACCCAATAAGCAGCACCAAATTTCATCTAAGGAGAATGATGCTGCATTAGACAAGGCAGGCCAATAGATTTTACCAAGAGCCCAAGTTCAGGTGTCTGAGGAGGAGTCAGACCCAGCAGCAGAGTACCGTTACTGATTTCCATTAAACAGACTGTTACCACTAAGAACCCGAAAGTACCAGGGACTGCCAGAAATCTCTCCTGGAGGAAGTGCAGCCAGAATGCTCCCTGAAAGCGAGAATGGCTAGACTTCATCTTACCTACTTTGGTCATGTTGTCAGAAGGAACCACTCCCTGGAGAAAGATACGCTGGGTAAAGTGGAGGGTCAACAGAAGCGGGAAAGGCCCTCAATGAGATGGATTTACACAGCGGCTGCAACGATGGGCTCAGGTGTAGCAAGGATTGTGAGGTTGGCACAGGACTGAGCAGTGTTCTGTTGTGTTGTACGTAGTCACTGAGTTGGAGCTGACTCGATGGCACCTAACAACTACCATGACCACTAAGAACATAGGCATCTCCTGGAACTTGAAGGCTCATAGACCCTTAACCCTCAGCAACACCATCCCTCTCTCTGATAGATTTATGATAGCTGGGGAGAGGTGCGAATGGTTAACGTCCTTGACTGCTAACCCAAAGGTTGGTGGCTCAGATTGACTCAGAGGTGCCCAAGAAGGGCCTGGCAACATACTTCCAAAACATCATCCATTGCAAACCCTGTGGAGACACCTCGACTCTATACACGTGGGGTCGCCGTGAGGTGGAAGCAATCAAACAGCAACTGGATTTGTAAGAGCTGGGGAGCCGAACTCAAGAGCCCCAGAGGGGAGCCGGCCCCACTGGCCCACTCCCCGACCCAACGTGCCCCTCACCCGGAGCCACTGCTCAGCCTGGTCCTTGCTCTGCAGCCCCAGCACGATCACGTCGGCATTCAGCGGCGTGATCTTCAGCTTGTGCTCCTTCTTCCGCACCTGCTTCTCCTTGTGGACGACACTGCTGCCCAGCAAGTTCACGTCCAGCTGTGGGCTGTGGTCCTTGGAGGATTTGTAGCACTGGAAGAAAAGAGGAGGGACACCAGGTTGCCAGGTCCTGCAGAGGAGAGGCCCGCGGGTACTGCAGAACCCACCAAGAGAGTCCAGCTTTACCCAGCGAAGCCAGAAGGCTGGACACCTGACGGCAGGCCCAGAGCCCTAACCTTGAACGTCGGCCCCTCCTGTTTTCAACATCAGAAGGACCAGGCAGATGCAGGCTCTCCTTCAAGCCTCCTTCTCAGACCTTAACCCTCAGCCAGGGATGCTGACCCAGCAGCAGAGGACCGTTACTGACTTCCATAAAACAGACTGGTACCACTAAGGACCTGAAAGTACCTGGGCTGCCAGAAAAACTAACAAATCTCTCCTGGAGGAAGTGGAGTCACAATGCTTCCTTGGCACCATGAATGGCCAGACTTTGTCTCACCTGCTTTGGTCATGTTGTCAGAAGGAACCATTCCCTGGAGAAGGATGTCATGCTGGGTAAAGTGGAGGGTCAACAAAAGAGGGGAAGGCCCTCAACAAGATGGCCCTTGTTCAAACTGCTTAGCCCATGCTCCAGGCCTGGCCAGGTAGGTAGCCCTCCCGTACCAGGGGTGGAACTAACATTTCCCCCCACCTTTCGGCATTCACTTCCTGCCAAGCTTCCCTGGTAAAGGTCCATGAAGAATGAAAACCGAGTCTACTATCTGCTTAGTAAGAAGATGGTGCGTTAGGAGACAAAGGACGGATGCTCCTCCCAACGGAAGAAAGTACACTATACGTTAGACTCTCGTTTGTAGAACAGAGATCCTGACAGCGTTTGCCCTGAGCAGGCAACACTGTGACCAGTAAAGAAAAGGTGTCTGTAAAACTTGCATGGAATTTCCAGTAAGGGCGTACAAAGAAATTTTCATTCAAAGTAACAGGGAACAGAAAATGCCTGAGATTCTCGCATGGTGCAGATGGAAAACAGTAACGAGGCTGGGGAAGCATCTGGCTCTGGACTCAGGGGGCACTGAACTTCTGAGTGATGGAAAAATCTGGAAACAGGTACTGGTGATGCCTGGACAACATGGACGCAATTAACGTCACTAAATTGTACATGGAAAAAAGTTGAAATGGCCAATGTTTGGTAACATATTTACCGTAATAATTTTTTTCACGTGATTGGGATGGAAGGGGGATCACAGCCCCGAGAGTCTGATAAAAATCACTAGTTTTCTAATTAAGACAAAACACATTTACCTACACCCACGAAATTCTGCATACAATTTCAGGTTAAGGAAAGTTAACACATGCTAACAGTGCTGTTGTTGTTAGGTGTCACTGAGTCATCGAGGTGCCAGTTCCGACTCATGGGACCCTACGTACAACGGAATGACTCCTGTGCCATCCTCACAATCACTGCTATGCTTGAACCCACTGTTGTGGCCACTGGGTCAGTCCCAATATAAAAGGCTCTAAATTGCTGTCGTCTGGGACCCTCCCTTCCCATGTCCTCCCTGCCCCGGCCCCTCCAAGAATTGAAGACAACACGGCATGGAGGCCGACTGACCAGGAGTCTGGTGTCCTTGATGACGCAGAGCTGCTTGGCCCACTGTCCCAGCCACTTCTTACGCCACAGGAAGGCACAGATGCGGGCTTCACGCATCAGCTCGATGCTGGCCTCGGGCGAGGGCCACTGGTAGGGGGCTGACTTGCCCTTGCTGTTTTCCTCTTCATCATAGGACTCATAGGAGCTGCTCACGGCCTCTCCGTCCTCTGTAAGGTCAATACCAGCTTGGTCACGGCCCTGCCAGCCAGGGATGTTCCTCATTTGGGGAGGGCAGCAGCCAGCAGGCCTCAGGCCAAACCTATCCAACTCTCTACCCTTGAATCAGCCCCACAGCCACAAACCAGAGAGCCCGGATGGCCCTCCTGCTGCCCCCAGCACCCTCAGAGAAGCCTCTCAGATGCTGCCCAGAGCACATAACAGATGAACTCAAAACCAGGAATCTTCTCCTTCCTCAAGTCCCATCATCATAGCCTCTACAGAAATCCCCGACAGGACACTGCCACACAGACCAGCTGTCTGCTCTTGAGAAAAGCCAGTTCTCCCACTACGGATCTCCAGTTCCTCAACCGAGGAATGAAGCAGGCTGGGTAGATAATCCTTCTAGATTGTTCCCAGCAGTTCTGTCACTCTGAAGGACCAGGACAACGTGTGTGTGACCTGAGCCCTGACTTGCGTATGTGGTATTCCTCCAACAGCCACCAAGGCCTGGTTCTGTCAGATGGAAGGGAGACACGGCCAAGACCCCTCAGAAATCAAGCTAAATAAACTACAGCAGAAAATAGCATTCTCAGGAAGGAGTCCACCTTCCAGCCCCCAATATTCCCCTCAGAGTTATATCCCTTTCTCAAAATCCATTCTTTTATCTTGCGTAGACTCTGTCCTTTGTCCCTCCCCGCTTACCACCTCAGCACAAACTTGGTTCCTTTTGCCCTGTTTCTCCTCATACCCCTTCCTCCACCTGTGGCTGTGAGCTAACCTCACTGTTGTCTTTGAAAGCACTCCTTAACTCTGTGCTCCTGGCCTCACTGCTCTTTATTCAAGGCCAAAAAAGTTACCTGAGGGGAACTATCCAACTTCCCTGAAAAAGGACTTGGAGAAGAGGCCCCTCTGGGATCCCTATGGACCAGGGATCCAGTCTACAGCCACCTTGAACCAACTCCAGCCTCTGGATTCCCCACAGATGGAGAGCTCACTCCTCTTCCAGGCTAGGCACTTTCTTTCATTACTAGGCAGACCTAGCAGAAAATGGGTCCAGAGTCTACACAGGGGTCCTTGTTCTCCCCCCTCAAATGCAAAACAAACTGCAACCATTGCCACGGAGTCGGATCCAACCCACAGCAACCCCTCCTTGGGTTTCTGAGGCAGCATCACTACGGAAGTAGATTGCCCAACCTTCCTTCCAGGGAGTGGCTGGTGGGTTTGAACTGCCAGTCTTCTGGTTAGCAGTCAAGTGCCTTAGGCACTATGCTACCAGAGCTCCCAAATTCCCCTTTCATAACCCCCCTCAGAAGAGAGAGAGCCCCACAGACCCTTCCTCTTCCCTTCCCACCTATCTGCATAGCTCGGTCCCTGCATACTAACAGAATATATATATATTCTGTGTAACTTAGAATATAGGAAAACCAAAGGAGACCTCTACAGTATTTACTTTCGCAACAGTGCCAATAAAGATGTCCTTTAAAAATCTCTCTGAAAATAACACTAAATATTTTAACATCAGGTTTCTTAAAAAGCATTGTGGGGCGACTCCCATTCATGGCCACTGAATTTTAAACCTATGAACTAAGGGACTGTGGACTCTCCTATCGCTGAGGACAGCATAAATTAATACAAGCCTCTCAGAGAATCGTCTGGCAGTCTGCTGTCTCAAGAGTCATAAAAACATCCATGCCCTTTGACCCAGTAATCCCAGTCCTGTGAGTTTATCCTAGGAAACTAGTTTTAAAAAAAAAAACAAAAAACAAAAAAACAGACGGGGGATAGTTACATGCATTCAGACAGACAGGTGGTATTTAACAGTCAGCAGAAGGGATCCAGGTAAGTCAAGTAAGGGTTGGTCCAGCTGGGAGCATACCATGCCACTGAAACCAAACCAGCTACAGCCCTGAAGGCCAATTCGCAGCCATCAACGCCCGAGGGTGGGATGCTTGGCAGAAAAACACAATGGAAGCCCTGTCTGCCGACAGACCTGCACTGGAGAAATCTAGTGGACTGACAGGGTGAGCAGGATCAGGGGGGTGGTTAGAATTTCCTGTCACTTTGTATTATCGGTACAATAAAGGAAAGAAGAGTGAGGCCCAATGCCACTGGGTGGCCTGCTCAGGAAAACTGAACGGAGGCAGGGGCCAGAGGCTTAGTGGAAGAAGTGGGGTAAATCCCTTCTCTTCCTGTGCGTCTTTTTCCCACGTGTCTCATGGAGAATTCTACTATGTGCCTGCCCTGCTCGTGAAGCCCCAGGAAGCTAACTAAGAAGAAACAGTAAAGCATGGCACCTGGAGTAGCCTGGAGGAAATTTAGGGCAAGCGGATTGATGGTTTTATAGTGTATTAAGTTTTATTTAGCCCTAAGGGTAATCATAAAGCCAGCTGCTGTCATGGTGACCCAGACTCATGTCGACTTCAAATGTTCAGGGTAGAACTGTGCCCCACGGGGTTCTCAAGGCTGTGACCTTTTGGAAGCACACCCCCCGACCTGTCTTCTGACGCACCTGTGTAGAATCGAACCCCCAGCCTTTCGGTTAGTTGCCAAGCATTTAACTGTGCACCACCCAGAGACTTCTTTGCCCCTAAAATGCAGGATGTTCCTAAAACACATAGTTGGCTCCCAAGGTCACAGGGGTAACTAACAGAAGTGGAAGGCAGGGTCTTGATCCCAGGTGGACTGGACCCCAGTGTCCCACGGGAAGTCCTCGAGAACAGGGGGCAAAGCAGCCATGCAGCACTGCGTCTTTCAGCCTTGAGTGCAGATGCTGTGGGCAGGGGTCCGTCACCCTCTGGAAGGGGGACACCCAGGAATGGACATGCAGGACCCAGACACGAGGACAGAGCTTGCACCCCACCAGGCAGCACAGGAGGAAGGCCGGCATGCAGCTGTGCACACAAGCAGTACCCAGGGCGATGGTGGCATAAAGGACTCCTTCGGGCACCTGCACCCATCTGGGGACTCCGGTGGGGAGAATTCTGCCGGAATGACCTGTATGACATCCGGAGGCACAGACAGAGGTGAGATGGAGAGAGGCAAGATGAAGAGACAATAGAAACAAGTGCAGACAGAGAGAGAGAGACACAGAGGCAGTAACGTGGCTCCTGCCTGTCTGCCAGGAACGAGTACCTCCCCATCAAAGCTGCAGGCCTGTTGGGAGAGGCCTCAGCCCAGCCCGTTATGCCCAGAGATGACCACGTGACTATGTGTAACCAGCAGAACATGGGCACAAGTGATGTGTGCCCGGTGCTTGTAAGAAACGGAGAGAGGTTGGCCATTCACGCTTTGCAGAGGATTCTGTGGCCTGAGAGCATGGCTGAGCCAATCTCCGTGAGGAGCCTGGCCACCTAAACTAACTGCTGGTGTCAGTTGCCCTCGAGTCAGCCCCCGACTCCCAGCAACCCCACGCACAATCGAACAGAACACAGTGGACTTGTGATCCACAGGGTTTTTACTGGCTAGGGCCAACGGATGTTCCTCTGGGGCAACCTGCATGTCACATCGCTCCATCAGGTGTGGGCACAACAGGCAGGAACTTGAGAACAGGCCAGCTTAGAGCCTAGATGAAGCCTTCCTCTTTTACCGAGTATGACTGCATCTCCACAAGTCTTCCTCAGTCCTCATCCTCCAGGGGGCAGCAAGGCACCTGGTGTTTCCCTACCACCTGGCTCCTTACCCCACAGTGGGCTCTCCTCCATCACTGAGCTCTCCCGACCTACTCCCGGTGGCGAGTTCCAGCTGTCCTGGCGATGACCCTAGTCCTGACTGCCAAAACCCAACCAAACCAGTTGCTATCAAGTCAACGCAGCCCCACGGTGACCAGTAGGCGTGTCCTCCCCGGGGTTTTCAGGGGCTGATTTTTCAGAAGCAGATCTCTAGGCCTTTCTACCAAGGCCCCATTAGGTGGATTCGAACCTCCAACCCTTTGGTTGGCAGCTGAGCACATTAACTTCATACCACCCAGGGACTCCATCGTCAATACAACTGACAAGAATTCACAGCTGAGGGACAAATGCCGAGAAGCCCGTATCTTTCGGCAACTTGTTTGTCTCTCTCCCTGAAACCCAGGATCAAGTGACTGCCCCACAGCCAGGCCCCTGGGAATGTCTGAGAGGCAGGCCCCAACTGGCCAAGCACACACCTGGAGAGACAGACAAGGCTAAAGGTGCAAGGGCTGCTCACCGGGGTGAGTCACCGACTCTACTTCCTGAAGAAGTGCCTGACATCAGCACCACGCCCTTGGCATTGCTCTGAAATCACAGCCAGACTGGTGACTGGGAACAGCTCACATGCTCAGTGCGTTAAAGGTAAGTGATGTCTGCCCACAAAGCCAGCCTCTTACTATAACCTCCGTCAAAACAGGCCCTGGCCTTCCACACAGTTCCTGGGACCAGGGGCAATAGGTAAACTGTGAAAAACAGAACACGTCAGTGTGGCCTCAAGTCAGCCAAGTTCATTCCCACACCAGGGAGAAGCATCCCTGATGTCTGCAAATTGCTTTATGCTTCCAAAGCCCTTTCATTAATGATGGAAGGAAAGAGAAGAAAGTGAGAAGGGACCAATAAGAGGATTGGAGTCCTGCTGCCCTGAAGACTGGTACCACACCACCTCTCCCAGGACCTTCTAGACCTTTCTGTATAATAGCACCCTTGCACCAATAGCACCTCTGATTGGATTTCCTCAGTCTGAGAGCCACTGACCAAGAGAAGGAAATTCCAGCTTGGGTCCTCCACCCAGCGCCCAGGGCCACCTCTAAGATGCTTAAGTTAGGCTAGTGACTAAGTGACTGATCCTCTAGGGCTTGCAGCCTCATTCCAGAAGAAGCAAAGTCCTCCCTGCGGCCTGCAGGCCTCCGGTCAGTCTCACCACCTCCCCTGCTCCAGCCATGCTGGTCCCCTTGCTCTTCCTCACACACAGTGGGAGCTCTGAGCCTGTATGTGTATATTGTCCTCTCTGTCTGGACTCCTGCAGGGGTCTGCACGCCCCACCCCCAACTGCACTTAGGACCGTTCACAGCCATGCTTGTCAGAGACCTTTACTGTCTCAGACCCCCCCCCCCCACTTCTGCTGCCTCAGCCTAGCCCTTGCTCCCCACTGGCCCTAACACTTAACCACCCGACACATATCATTTACATGTTGTCTGGCTTTGCCCATTAGAACCAATGTACTGTGACAGCAGAGCTCTCATGCTAGGTGCACTATTGTACCCTTTGCTCCTAGGGGATGCTTGGCACGAAACACAATAGTGTCACTGGAATGGATGTATGAAAGAACCCAGAAGCTGTGCTTGGACTAGCCTGACCACCACACCTCCTCTGTGTACCTTCCAACACACACTCCATCATGTTTCTGTGCTAAATCCAGCAACACCCAGGTAGAAACACAGAAAAGCAGTTCATCGCCTGCCCCCCAGCCCCTAACCCTTCTGCCCACACAGGGTGGGTCTGCCATGGCTCTTGGCTCCCCATTCACACCAAAGGCCAGGTCTCAATGCCACTGAGAGTGGCCCATGCTACCCTCTGCCTTTGGGCACGGGATGAGCACATTGGTCCATGGAATCAAGTTGCACCAGCATCTGCACAGGAAGCTGTGAGCCCCCGCTCTAAGCCCAGGCTACTGGCTGTACCATTTAGAGACGTGTCATAAGGCTCTGCCTCTTCATAGTATCCCTCTGGAGAGTCAATCTTTGGAATAGGGAGTTGCTTCCGCTCTGGAATCTATGGCAAGAACAAACAAAACAAACATTTTCAGATACGACATGTGGGGAACAACGTGGAATCAACCCTTTAGATGGGAGGAGGGGGTGGGGGTGGAAGTGCAGAAGAAACAATGCTTGACTGGACTTCAAACAAGTGGGGTGGCAGAAGGGTGGGCCCCTCCACTCCCCTCCATCACCTAGGACAGTTTCTGGTCTACAGCTAAGAGGCTGTGGGCATACTGCTTGACTATGCCAAGCCTCAGGATTTTCCTCTATACAGAGGGATAAAAAAAGACCCCTAATACCCCCCCCAGTCAAAAAAAAAAAAAAAAAAACAACACCCAGTTGCTATCAAGTCAGCTCCAGCTGATGGCACAACTGTGCTGCTCAACAGTGTTTTCAAGTCTGTGACCTCTCAAAAGTAGATCACCAGGCCTTTCTTCTCAGGCCCCTCAGATGAGTTCAAATTACCCATCTTTGGGTTAGCAGAGCAGTGCTTACCCATCTGTACCCTCCCCCCGACATGCACGACAGTTATGTCCGTAATGCACAGCCCACATGAAGGTCAGATAGCATCAGGCTGTGAAGGAAGCTACCGTGGCACTTAAGTACCATGTTTTTTTCCTAAAAAGACAAGTCCTAATCAACGGAACATTGAGGAAGGTGGCCAGGTTTCCAAATCGCAACATTTACCATCGTACACTTCAGTCACTCATTCAGCAAGTACTAGATGGCTCCTGTGTACTGCATGCGAGGGACACATCCCAACATTCAGAAGTCAGGAGTAAGGAAAACTTAACTCACTGGTAAACGTTTAGCAACCAAAAATCAAGAACATCGTGAGCAGCACAGTAATACAGACAAGGTTGAAGCTGTGTGGGAACCAGAGGAGGGCATGAGGAACACTTAGGACCAAGGCAGGAAACACAGAACAGACGGTTCCAAGCTTACGGAAATGGGGTAAGTAAGCCCAATTTGAGTAGGAAAAAAAAAACCATACGCGTCCAAGGCAAAACTGGTCTCTATTTGCCTGGAGCAATAGAGGAAGGAGAGTCAATAATAGGATGAGAACATGGAATGTGTGTCCAGTGACCTCCATGAACAACTGCCTCCTTTGCCATGAGACCAGAACTGGATGGTGCCCAGCTACCATTACTGAATATTTTGATCAAAGAGTCTATAGAAGAATCCTGATCAAAAGGGGGAAAATTCAGAAAAGAATTTCAGATTCTTAAGGGCTCCAGATTTCCTAGAGCTATGAAAGCTTGATGAACTCCCGAAACTATTGCCCTGAAATCATCTTTAAGCCTTAAACCAGCGATACTCATTGAAGTCTTCTTAAAACACTCAGGTTAGCTTTACTAGTTTAAAAACAACACAAAACAAACAAACAAACAAAACCACCCTGCTTCATTGAGCATTACGCTGTTTTAAGAACTATCCAGATGGAATCAAATTGACAACAGCAACTCAAATGGTTACCCACGAAACTCAGGGGGCACTGAGTCCACGTTAACAGGGGAGAAAAAAACTCAGAAAAGGAGGATGAGAATGGTTACACAGCTGGAAGAATACAATCAATGCCAGTCAATGGTACACGCAGAAACTACCAGCGTACAACAAAATTAATTTTTTGAAAAAAAGGTCTAAGGAAAAAAAAAAACATGCAACTTCACAGAAGCACAGGGCATGAATTTGTTCTATCTCTCCATTATTCCGCCTGCAAAGTGGGCACTAGACTATGAAGCCAATCTCATCAGCAAGAGAGTGAGCTGCCATCAGAGCCATGGCTCTGACTCATGGTGACCCACGTACAGCAGAATGAGATGTTGCGTGGTCCTACATCACCCTCATAATCTCCGGCATCTCCAAGTTCATCACTGTGGCATCCCTGTGCCCACGCACCTCAATGAGGGTCTCACTCACCTTCACTGACTCTACCTCATCAAACACAACATCCTACTCCAGCGATCAACCCTTCCTGGTGATGTGTTCAAAAAATGAGCTGGACAGAGTTCTGTTGTGATCCATAAGGTTTCCATTGGCTAATTTTTGGCTGTAGATCACCAAGCCTTTCTTCCTAGTCTTAGTTTGGAAGCTCCTCTCAAACCTGTCCATCATGGGTGATCCTGCTGGTATTTGAAATACTGGTGGCATAGCTTCCAACATCACAGCCACTACAAACTGCCAGATGAGTGGTGGTTCTAAGCATTGGCAGATGACAAAGAATATCACTGTTGTTGCATTGACATTATCATGTGCAGGTCATGGATGTGTCAACATACATGCACATGAGTCTCCGGTGTCTTTCTGAATCACAAAGCCTCTGAGGAGAGCCCAGGGAACATTCATAAAGAGTGGAGAGCAGAAATAACACTTGAAGCACACTCCTACTCTGGGATTTAAGATGCCTTTGTATTGGGCATTCCACAGGAGGGACAGGCCTGGGGCTCCAGGAAGCTCCAAGCAAAAGCAGCAGGAGGTTCTTCATGGTAGGAGGTGGTAGCCAACAGAAGCAGCCAACAGGGCCCTGAGCTCAAGATTCCTGGTCCTTCAGGAGTCTCTGCTTTATTGACATGGGATAGGGATCCAGAAGCCCTGGCGTTGAAGTATGGGCTTATTTTGGGATCTACTACTGATAGAGGAGCCCAGGTGGTATAATGGTTAAGTGCTTGGTTGCTAATGGAAAGGATGGTGGTTTGGACCCACCCAGTAGCTCCACAGGAGAGACTCTGCCATCTGCTTCCAGAATTACAGCCTAGCAAACCCTACCGAGCAGTTCCACTCTGATAAAAGGAGTTGCTATGAGTCAAAACAGACTCACTGCCACCTAACAATGAAAGACTAAGAGCTTTCCCCTCATCCTGGGAGACCAGCCAGCCTGGGCTCAGCCCCTGTAGGAACGAATTCAGCACAGACTGCAGTGGTGTCCATTCCCAGCTTCTCCCAGGGAAGAGCTGCCAAAACGAGGGCCATAGTTGTGTCAGAGCAGAGCTGTGCCCCACGGTGATCCCAACAGCTGAGTTTTGAGAAGGTCAGGCCTTTTTTCCAAGGCATACCTGGCAGACTCAAACCTCCAAACTTTCAGTTAGTAGCCTGAGCTCACAATCAGCTTGCATCACCCAGGGGCTCCAGGATCCCCACAACTGGAACAGGGTAGAGGGGACAAACTCCTCCTGAGTTATCAACACCAAAGGGTCTGTCATGGGATGGAACATCAGTGCTTTGTGAAGGTTCCCCAAGCCACTGAAATCTCATACATGGTGAAAGTTCTGGAAATAAATAGTGGTGGTGGTTGCACATTATGAATATAATGCCAGAGAACTATATACTGAAAATTATTTTTTTTCTCAATGTAAATGTCCAACAACCAAAAACTATGTGTGTGGTTATACAAATATGTATACAGGCATATATGTGTATGGATAGGGATATGAATATGCTCACACTTTATATATATCACTGAGGACTAAGATGGGCCTGAGCCAAGCCATGGTATTTTCAGTCACCTCATATGCATGTGAAAGCTGAACAATTAATAAGACAGACCAAAGAAGAATTGATGCATTAGAATTGTGGTGCTGGTGAAGAATATTAAACATAATATGGACTTCCAGAGAACAAACAAATCTGTCTTGGAAGAAATACAGCTGGAATTCTCCTTAGAAGTGAGAACGGCCAGCCTTTGCCTCATGTACTTTGATCAAGTGGTCAGAAGGGACCAGTCCCTGGAGAAGGATATCATGCTCGATAAAGAAGAGAGTCAACAAAAAAGAGGAAGACCCTTAACAAGATGGAGTAACACAGTAGCTACAACAGTGGGCTCAAGTATAGCAACGATTGTGAGGATGATGCAGGATAGTATTTTGTTCTGTTGTACACAGGGTGGCTGAGTCAGAACCAACTTGATGGCACCTAACAACGTATGCATAGATAGATGCAGCTATAGGCATGTGTACATACACGTGTGAGTGTATAACAAACCACATAGGAAACAGTTACAGGTACCTCTTAGACATAACCAGATACCTCATAAGATTGGTTTTCTGGGTTTGAAGGCTTAGGATTATAGCCTTTTGGGACAACTCAAGTTAATTAGCATATTATAGTTCACAAAGTAAATGCTCTAAACTCCAATGCAATGAGTAGTGTTGAGGATCCTAAACGCTTTCAAGCACCTATGTAGAACACAACTATTGGTGTCTATTCATCCAGAACAGAAGAGAAAGAGGAAAACCCAAGAGAAAAAAAAGCAGTCTGCAGGAGAAGCACTCTCCATGACTCATCTACCCCAAGACCGGAAGAACTAGATGGTGCCTAGCTCCAACTACTGACCCGTTCTGATCAGGGCCACAATAGACAGCTCCTGGTAGAACCGGAGAAAAATGTGGACCAGAAATCCGATTCTTAAAAAGTACAGACTTACTGGACCAAATGAAACCTGAAGACTCCCCAAGACTATTACCCTGTGATTTTCCTTAAATCTTAACCAAAATTATTCCCTGAGGAATAACACATCAGTTCATAACAAAGACTATCACGTGCAAGTCCTGAACTCTTTAAACAACCATCTACAAAAGACTGAATGGTCCAAGACCATCTTTCAAACAAAGATGAGAAGGTGAAGGGGCAGGGAACCTAGAGCACTGGAAATGGTGCAAACAGAATAGAATGAATGACTACACCTTGTGAAAAAAGTAACCACTGTCACTGAGCCATCTGTGTGGAAATTGTTAAATAGGAACCTAATTTGCTGTGTAAATATTCACCTTAAACACACTAAAATACTATTTAAAAAAAATGTAAATTTTGCATCCCTACCAAGAGACAGGACACTACTGAGGAATTCAACCTCAGATGCCAGGGGTGGGTTTGAATCCAGCTGTGTGGACCCCAGGAAAGTTCGTTAACCTCTCTGTGCTTCAGTTTTCTCAGCTGTAAAAGGGGGGGCTAGAAATACCTATCACATGGGGTAGTTGTAAGGATTAATTTGTGCTCAGCACTATCTGATGTACATTTAAAGGTTTTACTAACCTAAAAAAGTGTAAAAATATCCATCCAAAGGGGAGAAGTTACATGGATGTGTTTGATGGAGGAAGAAGAGATGCAGTTTGGAGAGTATGGAGAAGACTTTTGGACCTGGTTCGTACCATGCTCTCCTACTGACAGAGTCCCTGCCTGTAGGGGCTGCTGGGGCAAATGATATGAGCCTGTGGTACATTAAGTGGTGAAAAGATTTTCATAACAGCTCAGAAGGGAGTCACATAATTACAGACACATGGCCTGTTACCAGAGTTCAAAGGAGAAAGAGATCCTAGTCCCCCAGGATTAATGTTAAAGGACCATTAATTTAATCATCAATAATATCATCATCATCATCATCATCATGACTGTAAATGTTAAATGAAGACACAAGAGAGACTTCAAAACATGAAATAATTTCCTGATGGTTCTCAGGAAAAGACAAGGGAAGAAAGCTACATGGTCTTGATACCTGGAGATGATCCAGGAGAAAATGGAGAAATTTCTTCTGTAAAGGTCCAGGTAATAAATATTTTAGGATTTTGCAGGCCATGGGGTCTCTGTCACAGCTTTTCAACTCTGTTGTAGCACAAAAGCAGGCACAGAGAATATCTAAGTAAGTGTGGCTGTGTTCCAATAAAACTTTATTTACAAAAACAGACAGGGGGCCAGATATAGTTTGCCAACCTCTGATATAGACACAAGAGCTGAAAATGAAGGTTGGCCCAGATTACCTGAGGCATTCACTGCCCCACAGTGCACTGTTGGATACATCCCAGGTAGGGGCTAGTGGACAAGACCAGCCCCAGCTTCCCCAACTGACCACGGCAACATCCTTTTGTGGAGTCAGCTGCTTCTCTCATAGAGCAGCTCACTTAAGACCAGCGCCTACACGTGTACAGGCCTCAAAGGCGAGCCAGGACAGGGATGGCTGTGGTAGCCAGGAGGATCAACAGTGGCCAGCAGACATCTGGTTCTCCTGCAGTGACCACAGCACCCGGTGGTGCAGACAGCAGCCTGGAAACACTACAGCTGCCTGAGTCACTGCCCACACCCATGAGGTTGCTCCGACCCCGGGCTGCTCCTTCCCCTTGCTGGACGGGCCTGCTCCCCACCGACCCTATGAGGGTGGGGTGGGGACCCAAGACACAGAAGTGAGAACTCAGGACCCAGGCAGGCCAGCATCCTGAGCAAGAACAGATGTGCACTGGGCAGGCAACAGGGTGGGGCAGACATCCAGGTGGGGGAGCCACCACGGAGCCCTGAAGCTCTGGGTCAGGGAGGGAAGGGACCGAAGAAGAGAGGCCGCAGGGTCACCCCAGGCCCAGGCTTGGCTGGGCCTAGCTGCCACGCTCCTGCTTTTCTTCCTCACTCAGGCCAAGCACACAGCTGTTCCCCTCACCATGACGCCACCTCTCCCGGGGCCTTGGAGTTAGGGTTCTGGCTGCTTCAGTCCAGCCTTGACCAGAGAAGAGTACTAACAAAGAGAAAACGTATGTGCATGTGGGCAGGGAGGGGGAGTCCCTGGCTCATACCAGCACCCCCTCACTCCACACCCAAGAGCCCCCACCCCACCCCCAGGGCAGGGGGTGGGCACCAAAGACAGAACTGGGAAGGACCTAGAAAGGGAGCCAGCACCACTTGTCCTCCTCAGAAATTCCACAAGGAGGGAACCAGCTCCCACTGTAAAGTCAGCTCCTTTGCTGGAAGCCTCCCCAGAGCCTGGAGTCCATCCACAGGAACAGTTACCACGTGTCAGAAAGGCCACCCCAGAGTCCATTACTCTTGGGTGGTGACAGTCTCACAACTCCAGCACCAGGTTTCTCTCTATGCTGACAATGACCTCTCCTGGCCCTGAGCAGCCCTCGGTCACAAACACGGGAAGTCTGCTCTAGAGGAAGGCTGTATTTGCCCTTCCTCTTCCTCCCTTTGCTCAGAGGCGTAATTCACACCCAGAGCCCTTGATGCTGAAGTGCAGAAGCCTGACAAAGGAGCTATCAAACCCAAGGCCAGAATCCAGGGCTGTGGGAACTCATGGGCATGGATGTGACATTCCCTGTTCTGTGACCTGAGCAGGTCTGTCACTACAGGCCCTCTCCCACATCCTGGGCCTCTCAAGTTGACCATCATGTTTGTAACCACACATTCCTTGAACCAAGCTGGCACCACTCAGAGCTCAGTGCCAGAAGACTAGCTGGTGAATGCCCGCCCCACGCACTGGCCCATCAGCAGCTGCCCCGGGGTATGCAAACGAAGGCACTTGCATCAGAATCAGACACCGGCCTCAGAAAGAGGGGTGACGGGGCTAGAGCTAAGGAACCTGGGAACGTGGGAACCACCGAGGGATTTCAGGCAGGGAGTGTAGTGCGATGTGACATAAACACACACACTTGATATAAATGGTTAATTTCTGGTGAAATACCACAGCATAACCTTCTCCCATTCAAGTTCCTAGGCATAACGATCTGTGACATTGATTGGGCACAGTCTTTACACTGTGTCAATATGCTCACCATTTCTGTTCTCGATGTCACCGTGGTCTTGGCTGAACCGTGGCCCCACAGGGCCCCACTCACGTGGTTCTGGGGGAAGCAGCCTGGTACAGCACCACTGCCCGTGGTGGCACTGGACAGAGGCATCTCCCTCCACCGCCCACACCCACTATCCCTGGTACGTTGAGTACTGGGGCCAAGTAAATGGCTCATCACTGTGGGCAGGGGTGTGCCTACTTTTGCTGCATCTTTCCCAGGGCCTTGCCCCACGCCCTGAATACAGTAGGTGCTCAGCAAATGGAGGCACTTGATGGAGCCAAGATCTGTGAGGACAAACGGCAGGAAGTTCTAGGGCCTGCACCAGGGAAAGCAGGGGCTCCTGGGCCAACACTTACAAGCTTGGGTGGTGGAAGGTCAGGCAGACTCTTCTGGGGGGCTGAGGAGTGCTGGCCGGGCTCCCCGTTGCTCAGTGGGCTCTTCTCCTCAGAGGCTGCGGGCAGGAAACAGAGAAGGGCTTCAGTGAGGGGTGCCCTGCCTCACAGTGGGGTCTCACTATCCAGGAATGGCTGGTCACTATGCAGTGACTTCCATTGGCAGGTGATAACTGACCAGACAGGCAGTCTCCAGAGATGATGGTGTTTTTCCTCCAAGAATAGGGTGCACTAGTGGCTTAGCCTCAAGAGGAACCTGTTTGGGGTTTCTGGTATGCCTCCTTGCCCCCATCATCCACCCCTCGTCAAAAACAGCCCAGCCGCAGAGCTTTGTCTCACAGAAGAGCTGCCCAATGACCACTATATTGAGCCTCGCTCAGCACCGACCCTGTGATTACGGCTCTTTCCAGCCCACAGTTTACCCAGAAGCAAACGTCACCGGAAGAGGGGCAGTCTCTCTTATGGATGAACCCCTGCTGAGCCTCAGCTTGCGGTGGGGAAACCATGCCAGGGAGGTGGGGGCACCCCGTGTGCTGGGAAGGAGAAAGCACATGAAGCGGGCAGCACTGGCCTTTGTCTTGAGTGGCTGAGGTCTCAAAGCTGAGCCTGTAACAGGCACAAAGCACCACCCATCTCCAGAGGACTGAGTGTCTGAGGTGTTGGGTTCCCATCTCTCGCTAAGCCTTGGCATTCGAGTTGAGCTGGGAAATAGAGGTTCTTACCCTCCCCCTCCCCTCCCTCCTCTGCAGCCCACAGCTCTGCAAACCTCTGGGCCTCCCTGGGATCTTCTGGACCCACAGCAGGAGGATGCATCAGAGAAAAGCAGTGAGCAGAGGATGAGGCACCATGGAAGACACACTGTGTTCTTCAAACCGAAGCTATGATGTTCTGCCCAAGAGACCACCTTTGAACAATCTTTGAATATTAAGGCAGTTACGTCTACCACTGTTTCTCTTCTCTGTGCTCTCTCTCTCTCTCTCATCTAAACTCCTACTAGTGGACGTATGCTAGCACTGTGGGATTAGCACCAGACACAGCTGCTCGGTTAGACCATCTGAATCACGACTTCCTGTTCCGGGGATGGTGCTGGGAAAAGCTGAGCAATTTTAGGCACAGATTCCTTATCCACGCAAGGGACGGGAGGTGGCCCTCCAAAATCTCCCAAAATACAGCATCCCAAAATACCATCCACCAAAATGTGGCTTCCAAAAACAACCCCATGTGGCCATGCCTGTCTGTGGTCCTGGCTGGAAGGGAGGAGGGAAGGGCGGAACCGAGCATGTCTGTTCCCCACCCATACCTTTGTCCTGGGACTCGGCATTCTGTTGCTTGTGGACCGTCACTTTGTTCATGTAAATGTATTCCTCATCAGAATCTGCAGGAGGAAGACCAAAGACGTGGGCTTTGTGTTAACTTCATGAAGGGAAAGGGTTTCCAGAGACACACAGTGTCCCCCCACTCAGCCAAACGTTGTCATCTGCTTAAATCCCAGTGGAGAACATAACCTTTTGAACTGATTGAGTTTATATTACAGATTTCAAAAAAAGAAACGACAAGTTGCTGACAGCTTATTTCCCAGTTCAGGGGAAAAGGGCGGGATACAGAAGGTTAGCTTTAGGAATGAAAATCTTAAGTGGCAAGTGAGCCACACCTCAGAATAAAAGTCTGCCTCATGGTCTACCAAGCAGAGATTTCTCCAGGTTTCCTAGAATTTCATTTAAATTGTAAATATGCCCTATCAGTCATTCTCTCTCTAGTCTGAATTATTTGAGTGACTTCATTAAATCTGAGTGGTGTCTAGTTAACAGTGATGTCACTGAGGACCTGGAAGTTTAGCTCCCAGTTATCTAGGGAGGGTACCATTGTGGGGGCCTGAGACAGCCAAAGCTTATGGGCACTAGATTTGAAGGAGTGAGTGTACTGAGAACTGGAACCAGAAGCCACCGTCCACCTGCTCTGCAAGTGTACCCACAGCAACACAGCCCTCCCCTCTCCTTCAGCATCACTGCGGTGCAGGTTAGATCCTCCTCCCAGTGCCGGTCGGGTGGAGAAAAGCTGACCTCCTGAAACCTGCTGGGATTTTAATGCCCCAGTGAACCTTTCCTCTGAACCCTGCAAAGGAAACTCATCCTAGTGTCTTTCCTTTCAGCAATTCTCCCATACTCCTTTCACAGCCCTTAATTTGCATTTCCTAGGAACTCGTGGCTGATACATTCCAGTGGTTGAAGACCTGGTTCCTGAGCCGAAGGACTGAATTCAAACCCCTGGTGAAAGAGGCATTTCAGCGTCGGTCTGTTCCATGGCCACACACCACCCAGACTCTAGCGAACAGGCCTCAAAAACAGAGGCTTGAGAACCAAGAACAAAACACGAAAAGCAGACCCACTGCCGTCAAGTCTGTAATGACTCATGGCGACCCCGCACGTCACAGGGTAGACCCGAGCTCCCCAGGGTTTCCTGGGCTGTAATCCTGACAGAAACCGATCACCAGGTTTTTCTATGGCACCACAGGTTGGGGTGGAATCACCAACCTTTCAACTGAAGGAGGATATGGCTGCATCAGTCTCAGGATTCAGCCCCGCGGGACTCGTCAGCAGCATCTCCCTCATACCACGGGCTACAACAGTTCCCAGGAGAGAACCATGGGGTTTAAGCATAGCCAGAGCCTTCACACTGTCACTGACTGGGACCCAGAGGAGGTGGGGTCAGTTCCTTCTCCAGACTGTGGCATGGGGAAAATGTTCTGGGAAGGAGTGGGGAGCAGACAGGGTCTTGGTCAAGCTCTGCCATTAATGGTCTAATTCTAGGCAAAACACCTAACCCTTGGGCCGCAGGTTTTTAGTCAAGACAACATGGAAACCATTCATGACGAAATCCTGCCTGTTTCTCCCAAACTCTCAAGCTTTCAAGAGTACAAAACTCAGATTAGGTAAAGTGGTAAAGTCAGGTAATTTCGTAACTAACAAAGATTTTAAAGCAACAGTCCAATGCTTGAGAGATAAAGGCTCCACAACAGCAGGATGGTGACACGCTGACATCTCTTACACTAAGTCACCTTGAAACAAGTGCCTTAAAGGAGAATGTATCAGCTGGCATAATCACTATGGGAGTTGTTTGGGAGTGTAACTCAAATATTCATACTCTTTGATCCAACATCAACTTACAAATAAACTCAGCATATTAAAAATAAAAAACTTGAGGGTATACATTGTGATAGTATACAAGATTTAAAAAAAAAAAAAAAGACAAGACAGAACACCACTTAAATGCCTACCCATGTTGTTGTTACACGCCATCAAGTTGGACCTGACTCACAGCGACCCCTCCTTGGGTTTCCGAGGCAGTATCATTACGGAAGTAGAATGCCCTGTCTTCCTTCTGAGGAGTGGCTGGTGGGTTTGAACTGCCAGCCTTCTGGTTAGCAGTCAAGTGCATTAGGCACTTTGACTAACTATTCTAGGCCACCTGTTAGTAGATACTACCCAACTGTTCAAACTAAGGATAGCTCTGTGTTTGCTGAACCAGGTTGCCCAAGACATACAGCTTTAAAACAGAGAAAAAGGAAAAACATGTCAATGTTGGAACACAGAGAATGTGCACATGCAGCAATTCTGAAAGTGGAAAAAAGGAAAGCCGAATACGTGTAGACAAACTACCAGCACATGAACAAACAGATGAGCCTGACAGACACCAGAAAAGGAGCTGGAGCGACATCGTGTTTAATGCTCATTTTAGAATCATTTTTACACTTTATTGCCTAAGTTCATTTCCCTACACACACACACAGGCAATTGTTTTAATTGTGAGGCAGGTGCCTTTCCTCAAGACTTGGACTTACAAGTTACAGAGAACACATGCAGTGGTCTGGTCACCTTACCAGGCTGTGTCTGCCTACCTGGTAGACAAGCCTGCAAGCTGTGGGTGACCTGGTTTCCAAATGCTGTTGATTTCATCCTTAGGCATCATCGACTGTGAACCTATGTGACAGAGAAGAACTGCTCCACTGAGTTCTCTCAGCTGTAATTTTTATAGGACCAGATCACCAGGTCTTTCCCTCCACGGAGTCTCTGGGTGGGTACGAACCATCAACCTTTCAGTTAGCACCTGAGAAGGGTCACCAATCCAGCACTAGTTCAGGATGCTTAGTAAAGGCTCCCAGGACCTACATCTCAACTGTGGAAAAGCACAGTGACCTGTAAGGAGAGGCTGCTGACGGGTCCCAGGGCTAGGAGGCAGCAAGGTTGGGCAAGAGAACTTTATCATTCACTCATTCATCTTCAAAGCGCACCGAGCATGATCAGTTCTGTTCAAGGCTCTGAACTGGGTGCCAGGGATGCAGCAGCAAATAAAACAGACATTGTCTCCACCTTCATGAAACCAGCCACCTGGTGGGGGAGACAGGTCCTTGGGTGGTACGAATGGTTTGTGCTCAGCCACTAACTCAAAGTTTGGTGGTTCAAACCCACCCAGGGGTACTGTAGACAACTGCTTCTGTCAGGATTACAGCCAAGAACAGCCCACACGGAGCAGTTCGACTCAAACACATGGCGTCACCATGAGTCAGAATTAAGTCTACAGCAACAAGTTTGTTTTGTTTTGAAGTGGGGGAAGAGAGACCTGAATCATATAGTTATACACACAGTGCAAAAGGACAGCAGCCACAGACACTGGAAAGGAGAGCTTGGAATGCTCTGACGAAGTTATGTAATTTCTGGGGACCTGAACTTATCTGCAAAGGAGATCTTCCCCAGAGAACTGGGTAGAAGCAGAGAGACAAAACACAGACCTCTCTTTCAAAGAGTGACAGTTGATCAAAAGGGTGTAGCATTTGAAGGTCTTCCTATTCGAGGAAAGTCCCCAAACCATCCAGGAAGCCTCCAAGCTGGTTATCGGTGCAAAAGCACACAGTGGTCAGGGCATGGGCACACAGCAGGTGGCCAAGCCCCCCAAGAGCAGGTGTTGGTTTTGCCTTGACCTTACATCCAGACAAAAGCAAAGCAAAAAGTAGAAAACCCACATTTACAGTAGGAAAAGAGCAGAAAACCAAATGGACTCACACACTCACTCTACTATACTCTCTTCTGGAACATGTGGGTGTGAACAACAGCTCAGAGCAGGAAGGCCACAGGTGGCATGGACCCATCAGGCTGAGCTGATGTTCTGGAAGACACTCGGAAAAGGGGCCTGGGAGGTTGAGAGAGGAAGACGAACGCTCTACCGTAATTCCAGGGAAGCTTGGGACTCTATCCTTGCTACCCAACGATTAATCCGACAGTGCAGTGCGGTCAGGCGAGGTAGGAATAATGGTTAAGTCCACCTACCCAGGCACAGCCCTGGCTCTGCCACTCACTTCCCAGGAGTGGTTCCCTTTGGTGAAACCGAACTACTCCCTGGTAGACTCAGGGATAAGGACTAAGGGATGTAATCCATGCCATTTAACACATCAAGGATAATCCTGGGACACAGTAAGCATCCAATACTGCTGTTACCTGCCACTGGGTTGGCCCCTGACTCATGACAATACAACGCATACAAGGATTAGACCACTGTGATCCACAGGATCTCCACGGCTGATTTTTTTGCAAGTACCTCCCAAGACCTTTCTTCCTAGTCCGTCTTAGTCTGGAACCCTGCTAAAACCAGTTTAGCACCAAAGCAACATGCCAGCCTCCAAGGACAGAGCAGTTGTGGCTATGTTCAAGGTGCGCTAGCTGGGACTCAAACCCAGGTCTCCCACGTGGAAGGTGAGAATTCTACCACTGAGCTGCCATGGCCCCATTAGCTGCTGTGATAACAACCATGCAGTCTACTTGGGTGCAAAGAGAGCTAAGAAGGTTTGCTTTCAAATGGTGGCTGTTAATAAGTGGATGTCACTCTCTAGCATAGAAGGTGGTAACCACAGGCCTCGGTATGGTGCAGTTACCGGTGGTCTGGGTGGCAGTGCACAGTTGCCATACACTGTCCTCAGCAGCCCTGCAAGCTGCATGACGGAAGGTGGGAAGAGCAGGATGTACAAAGATGGGGGGTAGGACAGGGGTCTCCCCTCTAGGAAGCTACATAGACCATTAAACCAGTGTGGGTGCTAACTGAGTAGTCTGCACAAAGATCTGTGGGTCAGAGCCCATCATATTATTTATAAAGAGATGCTCTTTACAACTGAAGGTTCTCCAGTCAGACAGACTGCGATGGTCTGGGCAGTGAGCTTTCAAGCCTCCCATGCGGTGAGTCATCCCTCTTTAACTCACCTGCTGTCATGGGAATTTCCCATCCATGGTCCCACCAACGGTTTGCTTTGATGGCCTGCAGACACCCACTACAAAGCCCGGAGAAGCCTGGGAACCGTGGGACAGCCTAGGGAGGGGCAAAGGCGACAGAGGAGCTTGGGAAAAACAGCTCTGATTAAAGGCTGGGACGTCAGGGATGTCTGTCAGCAGAAAAGGCCGCTGGGCTTACAGCAACACGCTTGGTTTAATAACTGCTCTGTTATTCAGACGAGACACTAATTCCACCGAGAACAAAAAGCTGTAAAGGTAGGGGGGCAGATGCAGGTTGGACCTGAGGAGGGATTTCCTGACTGACTGGTGGCTGTGGCAGATGGAAGCCTTCCCTCCTTCCCAGGCAGAGGCCGGCTCCTGCAGGGATTTCAGCTGCTCCTGCCGGGTGGCAGGTGGACTTGACGTCCTGTCATCCCTGTCCTCAGGCGTCACCTTCCCATGCTCAAACATCTTACGTAGCAATAAAGTCAACTAAGCTGTTTTGACTTCACAAAGAGTTTTTGAGGGGGAAAAATAAAACCAAAAAAACTCATTTGCTAGAAATGAAAACATCCATCTGTAAGACAACTTGTCTAAGAAGTTCCTAACAGCCTTACTCATAACTACCTACAGCTAAATGGCACCAAAAAGGGAATGCATGATGAAACATGGTGGATTTCTCTCATGGACTATGGCTGGGCAGTAAGAAGAATGACCTAGTGACAGGCCTAGCAGCAAGGACGAAACCCCCGAGCAAAGAAGTGACACCAAGCGCATACTGTGTGATTCCGTGGATACGAAGCCCTAGGACGGGCAGTACTGACCACGGTGAGAGCAATCAGAACCGCAGCTGCCCTGGGGTGGGGTGAGGAGGCGATTAACTGGGAAGGGGTGAGAAAGACTTCGTGGATGACAGAAACGCTGTCGTTTGTTTTGGGGGGCAGTTACACAGGTGTATACAATGTCAAAACTCACTGAATACTTAAGATCTGTGTACTTTATCGTATATAAACTCTACCTCAATACAAAGGATAAAAAAAATGATAAACTCAGGGTTTTGTGCTTGACAAAGTCTTAAAGCTGTTTCCCTGTTTTCCCTTGGGCTGTACAACACTGGGCAAATTATTTCAGCTCTCTGGGCCTGGGTTTCTGCATCTGTAATAACCAACATCATCACAGGGATGTCTCGAACACACAAGTTACCATCTGTGCACATGGCAAGTGCTCCAGGTGGTGGCTGTTACTATAATAGTGTATTTGCTCCTTCTCGACCTTCAACCAATCAAGAAAAGTGGCGTCTCCAACCCTCTCTTGTGGGTGAGTTCGGAGACCCCAGAGAGCCCCTCTAGGCGAGTCCTCTTTGTGCGCCTTTCCGTTTCCATCCTTTCACAGGCCCAGGCCACACTTACTGCTGCCTTTGGCGTAAAGACGGAGGAGCTCGGCCAGGCAGCTCTTCTTCACCGCCGCAGTGCTACTCAGGTCCTCCTGATCAAGCACCTTCAGGAAGTCCTCCAGCTCCGTCAGCAGCTGTTCCAGGGCTAGGGAGACAGAAAACACACGGGGCCGTTACAGCAGCTGCTTTTTCTCTAAAGGCCCAGCTTGACCCTGCAGCAGCCCGCGGTGGACCTGGCAGGGGTCTGGCAGCACACAGGGAGCCCAGCCAGGAGGCGAGAGCCCTGGTTCCCAGGTCACAGGGAGAGAGAAACAGGCCCCCGGCTTAGAGACGGATGTTATCAGCCCAAACTAGCATTTGCAGGAGGCGCTGCAGTGGCCACACAGCCCAGCCTTCTGCATGTATCTCTTCCCTTGCAAATGCCTGCCCTCCGAGGGTTCTTGTAGGGAAACAGAAAAGAAAACAGAGACTTCAAAGTGCCTTGGGGGCTGCTGAGCACTGCTCCTGGAGCAGAATTCCTAACAGGCATGACTCTCACCCTGAGTCCTTCTGGGCGACCTTGGGCCTGTTACTTAACCTCCTCAGTTCCCTCTCTCCTGTAAAATGCTCTAAACGCTCCTTCCATCTCTGAAAGTCTACAGTGCAGCCTGATCATGGTTGGCAGCATGACTTTCTGATCATGGGACAGCCAGGATTCAAAGCCGCTCATAGAACTACCAGATGACCCAGTAAAGTCCTACTCCCAAGGCCTCTACCCCAAAGAACTGAAAGGAAGAATGCAAACAGAAGCCTGTAGACCAGCATCCAGTGTAGCACCGTTCCCAGCAGCCAAAAGGTGTGAACAACCAAAATGCCCATCAGCAGTTGAATGGATAAACAAAATGTGGCATCCATAATACTCAGCCACAAAGAGAAGTGCAGAGGCCGAGTGGCACAAATGGTTCGGCACTGGACTACCAGCCTAAGGGTTGGCAGTTCTAAGCCACCCAGAGGCATCTGGTCAGACAGGCCTGGTGATCTGCTACTGAAAAGTCACAGCCTTGAAACCCTACAGCAGTGAGGCCTCCTTCGACAGATGATCGCATGTCACCAGCACGCTGAGCAATGGACCGAGATGTCCGCACCCTAACTCCCAAGACCTGCAAATATGTTTCTTTACATGGCAAAGGGGACTTTGCAGATGTGTTTAAAGATCTTACTGATGGTGCCATTAGCCTGGGTTATTCAGGTGGGCCCAATGTCATCACAATGGTCCTTATAAAACTGAAAAACAAACCCACTGTCGTTGAGTCGATTCTGATTCACAGGGACTCCTTAGGGCAGAACAGACTCATCCCATAGTTTCCAAAGCTATAAATCTTTAGGGAAGCACACTACCTATCTTTCTCCTGCAAAGCAGCCAAACACTTTAACCACTATGCCACCAGAGCTCCCTGTTCTTATAAAAGAAAAGCAATAAAGTTAGAAGATGTAAAGATAAAAGCTGAGGTCATGGAAGAGAGAAGGTACTATATGTTGTTAGCTTTAAAAATGGAAGAAGGGTCCATGGGCCAAAGAATGCTGATAGATTCTACAAGATGGAAAAGGCAAGGAAATGGATTTTCCACAAAAGCCTCCAAAAAGCACACAGCCTTGCACACTCATTTCAGATTTCTAACCCTCATAACTGTAAGAATAAATGTGTCCTGCTATCAGCTACTAAGTTTGTGGCAACAACACACTAATACACTCCCTCACAGCCCTGACTGTGCCATATTGTAGTTATCTGTGTCCATTATCTGACTGTGCCAAGAAGACAGGCTCTATTTCCAGGGTCTAACACAATGCCACTAAATATCTGTTGACTAAATGAGTGAATGAGAGCAAAGCAAATCCATCCTTTGTCTCTGTGCACCAAGGCACATCACAGTTAGTTTACAAGAAAAATAAATTGCTGGTCTGGACCAGGTCTGAAGGGAAGCCGACCGAAAACCCAGGTGGTCTAGAAGGTCCTATCTCACTAAAGTATTTTATTAGATCAGGATTCCTCCCCACTTTTATAGTTTATATAATATAGTATCGACACTGGGAACGCAAACAATTCCTCCATCAAATGGTCCAAATGAAGCCAACTCCTGAAGAGCACCATATGAACAGACTAGCTGTTCCAAAACTTGGAACCCAGAGACCTGACCACCTTCTGGAACCTTTGGAGGCTCCTGCTTTACTAGTGATTCCTTCACTTCGACCAGCCTGAGCTCCTTCCTCATGGGTGACCTTTCGTCAGTCTCATCCCAGGAGAACATCAATGGTGAGGGAGAAACAAGCATTTTCTACAAGTCCATACTCATTTACTGCCTCATCTTCACCCCCCTGGCCTCCCTGGTACCATGGATCAAACCCACCATCAATCACACTGGGCCAGTTTATAATCAGAAGCTCTGGACAAAGGAGGAACAGTGAACCCCCAGAACACAGGGCAGAGAATAAGGTCTTCTGGGTGGTCAAATGTTGACCCAAAGAGGACAGCCACAGGAGCTTTCTGGGCAAACCATGAAGCATCAGGTGAAATCAGCATGGGCTAGGGGTTGCACCAACGGAAAGGTGCCCTTGTTAACCATGAAGGGCAATGAGTTCCCGCCACCTGACCCAACAAAATTCCTCTGCTAGAGCCGAGGGCTCAGCCCAGTGCACTGCTCTGACCAGACAGGCTCACTAGGTGACATGCTACAGATGGCACCTTGCCCTCAGGAATATTCTGTCCCAGCAGAAATAGGGACGACCTATTAAAAGCCACACTTTGGGAAACAAAATGTCCCAGAGTTTCTTCAATAACTGAACCATTTCAGTCGCCACCCAGTCCAGCATCATTATTCTAAGCTGGTTAAAGGCTCTGGTTCAATGGATCCAGATGCCAAATATGGACTCTCAAGGACTACCACGAGAAGGTGCTTTGGGCCATTTCTACCTGGAACTACCTTGCAGACATAGCAGTTCAGAAGGCAGCAGTCTAGGCTTCAGGGCATAGTCACTGTGGCTGTTAAGGACCCACATCTCTATTAAGAACAAGACACTGTCAACAGGAGTCACCTTGGCACCTCCCTGCTTGGCTGGCTCTCCAAAACATTCTCATTAATAGCAACCAGCTGCTTGTGGCTCTGAACAGCGCTTTTCCACCCTGGCCATACACCAGAATCACCTGGACAGCTGAGAGATCTTGAAGCTGAGGCTACACACCAGACTGACCAGATCCGAAGTTCTGAAGTTGGAACCAAGAAGTCAGTGTTCCTTGAGTCCCCTAAGGTGATTTCAACATGCAGCCAAGATTAAGAACCAACTACTGGTCCAAATCAGCATCAGAGACCATTACCTGAAGACCTTGCTCCCATAGACACCCAGTGAGGAGTCAGAGCCCAGGGTCATATCCTACAACCCTAACTGTCCTATTACAGACTGCTGCAGGAGCTCTGAGAGGTACACAATTCTTCTAGGGCTCAGTTTTCTCATCTGTAAATTGGAGAAAGCCATGTAAGCCTTATCCAAGTCACCAGGCTGTTGTAAACCACATGAAGCCCACAGAGCTCTTCACAAACTGTGCTCATAGAAATGTCACGTCAACCACATAAAAAGTGCTGTCATCTCTTCTCATCTCTGCTTTTCTTCTCATCCTTGGTGGCATCATTAGTTATTTCTGACTCTCCACCAGTAGCATCCATCTCTAAGCTCCTCATTGGGGGGGAACTGTTCAAAGAAACATTCCTTACTGTCTGCATAAGGGGGAGAAGGGAACAGGAGGGTACCTTCTCTGAGCTTTCCCTGAGCACTCTTATTATTTATATTGTTATATTAGATCATTCTGTTATTCTCTAACTCAGCATCTTAGTCTTCATAATGCTTATCACAACTTAAAGAAAGCAAATATACTTTATTAAAATAAATTTTTTAAGTGAACAAAATAAACAAAAAGCTTCTGCTTTGCTCATTTTTAAATTTTGTTTTTGTCTTTCTCATGCTAGCTTAGTCTGTATCTCAGAGAGCCAGGACCACACATCTCTCTTGTATCTTCAGCACTTTACACTGCTGTAAGTACTGAATGAATGAATGTGAAATGAATCAATAAGTAAATGAATTGATAGCAAAATGATTGGTAGCTTACAACCATTCTGAGGTAGGCACCATTGTCCCCATTTTTTCGATGAAGATCTGGTGGTTCAGAGAAGTCCCATATGTCCTGTGGCAGAGAGCGGAGTTTGCTGACTCCAAGGCTTAGCTCTTAACACACCCTGACCCCAATGCCTCTGTGTAGGACTTTCTTCCAGCATCCCCTAAAGACCGGCTCCCCATGACAGAACCAGAGCCCCAGATAATCTCTTTCCCCCATTACAGATTGAATCATGCCACACAAAAAACATGTGTTAACCTGGCTGGGTGGGCCATGATTCTCAGTGTTACATACCCTCCCTCCATTTTGTGAATTGATGTAATTATCCTGTGTGCTGTGTAAATCCTCACCTCTGTAACATTTAGGAGGCAGGATGCCATCTACAGGACTAGGTTGTATCTTGAGTCACTCTCTTTTGAGATATAAAAGGGGTTAAACAAGTGGGCAGAGATCAGAGGGACCTAGTACCACCAAGAAATAAGAGCCAGAAGCAAAGTGTGTCCTTTGGACACAAGGTCCCTGCAATGGGAACTTCCTAGGCCCAACGGAAGATTGATGCCAAGACGCACAGCAATCTCCGAGAAATGCTGGGCCCACAGAGACAAAGCAGACAAGGACTTCCCTCCTAAACTGTTAGCCAACAGAGGGAGAAAGCCTCCCCCCCTTCAGCTAGCACCCTGAATTCAGACTTCTAGCCCCCTAAACTATGGATGTTAAAGCCATCCACTTGTGCTGTTATTACAGCAGTACTAGAAAACAAAGACATCCTCCTTGTTACAGAAAGAACCCCCGTCTTCTCCTGGTCCCAGGGAGAGCTCAGCGGCCTATTTCTGCCCAAATACCCCATGGCCCTTGGTGGGGTGGTAGGCTGTGAAACTCACACCACAAAAACAAATTCCCTAGAATGAAAGGTGGGAGATGTGTCCATTTCAGAAGCAAGCTGTGAGAAGGGCAGTAGCTGGTAGGATCGTCAAATCCACCACTGGGGGAGGCAGCTCACTGGATGGACAGGCACAGCCTGTCACACTCTCCCCAGTGGAACTCGCCAAAGCTGGAAAGGTACCCCAAAACCCTTCTCTCTCCCTCTTCACTGTCCCAGGTGAATTCTCAAGAACCAGCAGGTTCCCCAAGTGCCTTTCTGGCTTGCTGAAAACTGAGTGAAGGGGATGGATGCTGGCCCTGTGCCTGGAGGTGGGGTGAGAGGTGGCACTCATCTTTGCTAGGGGACAGATGTTGTTGTTGTTATGTGCGGTCAAGTCAGACAGGACTCGACAGATGAGCAGATGCTAAGTGACAGGAAAGGCAAGGCAAAAAAGAAGCCATGTTTGGGTGGTTCTACCCAGAAAGGGCAGTCTCCAAGAAGCCAAGAGCCTTTTTTTTTAAGAAGAAAAAAACAACTTAAAATGTGTAGACTCTTAACCAAGTGAACTTTGAAAGGGCACCAGCCAGGGATCCCAGAGCCCATCCCTAAGTATCAGAGGAGACCCCACTCCCAGTACTCTAGAGGACCCACAGCCTAAACTTACTGGGAAATTAAAAAGGAGACAGGACAGACTGCAAGCTCAATTAAGCAAGATAAGACTAGTGCCTGAGAGGCAATTACAGACCAAGGGCACACCACAAAAATTCAAGTCTAGTGATGTGATACCAACCTCAGGTATTAGGAGGTCAGACAAGAGTGCAGTCCCAGGCCTGGAAGACATCAGGGAAAAGGTACAGTAGGGCAAAGCTTTAGGTGGTTTTTTTTTTTTTTTTTTCCTTCAGCTGTTCATGAGTTTCCTGTTGGCTGCAAGCACTAGACACAGCTCAAAGGCAGTGAGCCTTCAGGAAGTCAAAGCAGGGAACACCATCAGCTGAACAGGGGCAAACAACAGTGAGCCTTGGACTCAGCTGCAGTGGGTGAGGACAAGCGAAAGAACACTGAAAGGAAATCAGGAGATGCGGCTGCTGCCTGCAATCCATGCCACTGCTTCTGAATGTTTGAGAAAGAATAAAAGCATGAAAAGTGAAAGTGTCCCTTCACTTCTAAAAACTGAAAAACAAACTCACTATCATCAAGTCGATTCCAACTCATAGAGAACCCCTTAGTGTTTCTGAGATGGTAAATCTTTACCAAAGTTGATTGCCCAGTCTTCCTTCCAGGGAGTGGCTGGTGGGTTTGAACCGCCAACCTTCTAGTTAGCAGTCAAATGTCTTAGGCACCATGCCACCAAAGCTCCTTTCACTTCCAAAGCCTCAGCTATTCCCAAAAGCTGCCGGATTCCTGGAAGACAGCCTTTGTTTATTTCCACAGGAGCAAGTATGTGCTAAGTCAAAGGGAGAAGTGCTATGCCTGGCTCTGGGGAGACAAAAGTGACCAGGCGGCATCCCCAGTCCTTCCGGGGGCCTGGTAGCTGTTGATGGAGGGTGGTGAATACACAGGGTAACAGAGTGATTAGGAATGGCTTCAAGGATGAGGAATGCAGAGGAAAGAGACAAACTGGGGGCAGATTCGAGAGGATTTTATATGCTGCTCATAGAGAAGTGAGGAGTAAGGTGGTTTCAAAAAAGCCAAGAGCCAGTCAGAAGACGGAAGCAATGAAGGCACTTGGTGTGTCTGAGAACCACAAGGCTCTCTGTCCAGAGGCTCACAAAGCACGGGGAAAGGTGGGCTCTGGGGCCAGAAGTGTGGACTCGGTGGTGGAGCAGATCAGTGCGTGCTGTGCTAGTAGGGGGCCCTGGGGTTCAGTGGTAGAATGCTTGCCTTCCAGGTGGGACAGCCGAGTTTGATTCCCGGTCCACGCATCTCACACGCAGCCACCATCTGTCAGTGGAGGCCTGTGTGCTGCTATGATGCTCGTAGACCGCGATGGACTAGGAAGAAAGGGCTGATGGATCAACTTCTGAGCACCAGCCAGTGAGAACCCTGTGGAGCACAATGGAGCACTGGCCAGCCCGCAACCGGTGGTGGGGATGGCTCAAGACTGGGAAGCGTTTCGTTCTACTGTGCATGGGGTACCCATGAGTTAGCAGGAGCAGCTCAATGACAGCTAGCGACAACACTCAAGGAGTCAGTGCAGGGGCTCTAGGCAGCGGGGTGGGGCAGTCGGGCTGTTCTTGAAGAAGGCTGGTGGGTGACTTAGAAGAGTAAGTCTGAAATAGTAGGGAGGATGAACGGCAAAGGGCCTGGAGGGAGGCCAGGTGGAAGATAACTGAGTACAGCTGAGAATGGACAAAGGTGTGACCTGATCACAGTGGCCGGTGCTGCAGGGCACTGCCATCCCCACGCCCCTGCCAGCACACAGTGGTGGAGACAGCTGTTGCTAGGTTCTGACGGTGAGGCTGCGCACAACAGAACACAGAACGCAACACTGCCCGGTCCTGCCTTCTGACTCACAATCGTTGCTACGTTTGAGCCTGTTGCTGCAGCCACTGGGTCAATCCATCTCATCGAGGGTCTTCCTCTTTTTCACTGACCCTCTCCTGGGGACAGGCTGGGGAGGCTGAATTACTGCCTAACTCAGTGGCGTCCCCAGGTGGCAACAGCACTGGAGTTCAAACCCAAGTATGTCCAAGTTCAAAGTACTTGCCGTCTGCTGTCTGTTGGCCATAGCCAGTACCAGGAAGCCTGGAAACGCCTCCCCTTTCACCATATTCCACAAGGTGGAGGGGGATAAGAGCGGAGAAGGAGGAGTACAATGAGAGGGGCTTAAGATGCCGCGGGGTGGGTGAGTGACATGGCATCACAGCAGACAGAGAGGCCTGGGACGGAAAGGCTTCTGATGTAGATATTGGGGATGCCTAAGACTCCACTCCCTCTAGGGGACACTGGCCAACAGAAAGCTGCTTGCAAGGATACTCCCCTCTTCCTGGTTTCCTCCTGGCTTCTCAGCCCTCCTTTGATACCATTCCCAGATAAGATACACAAAGGAGGAAGGGAGATTTCCAGAGACATGGCTTTAGGCTACGTGTTTGGTGGTGGTAATGATAGGAGGGAAACCTGAAGAAGTCAGTTCTCACAGGACTTCTCAGACTCCTACTTTCTAAGATCCCCAAACACCTGCCATGTGCTTGGTCATGGGGTTTCAGCAAACTGGGCCACATCTTAGTGGCCCTAGCCTGGTCTGCTTCCTGCCTTGACTGGGAATGACCACAGAGATTAAGAGCCTCCCTCCCTCCCAAGTTAGAGTATCTCTGGAATAGTGGTTCACCCTGAACATCAGTCAGAAATGGGGCATTCAGAACTTGGACAGGAACTGCCTATTTCTCCTTCTGTCACTATCTGCATCTCTGTTTTCAAGGGCGGGTTCTGTTCACATCAACCTATGGCAAAAACCACAGAATGAGGCAGGTTCGCCTTTACGAAGCAAAATCAAATCCAGGAGATGTAAGCTGTTCCTCAAATAATTTAATAAAGTTACCATAGGACTCAGCCACTTTGCTCCCAGGTATACCCAAGAGAAGTGAAAGCATGTCTCTATAAAAATTCGTACATGGATGTTTACTGCAGTATTATTCATAATAGTGGAAACTATGGTAGATAAAAAATATGGTATGTCCATATAATGAAATATTATTTAGCAATGAAAAGGATGAAGTATCAATCCATGCTACAACATAGATCTGAAACCGAGTGCTATTTCCCCAACCCTGGCACCTGGATGGGAATAGATAGGTAGACTAGATTACCCCCAACTATTTCCCCCACCCTGGTTAAGACAGATAATTAGATAAGACCCTGCAGGGGATAAGTAAACTGGATCACCCCCCAAAAGTATTTTAGAAATAACATGTAAATTAACTCTGGCCACAGAGAATAGAAATGTTTTAGAAACCACTTGTAAATGAACTCTGGTCCGAGGACATAAGGGAACAAAAATTAATTGCTGACCCTCTCCCCTCTGCCCAAGCCCCTATCAGCTGACTCATCCGTCACCCATTTCACTTCATGCCCTAAATTGTGAATATGCACAACCCCCTCTCCTGAAACCTACAAAAACTGTTTCAATGGCATCTCAAGGAGTTAAGATCTGGGTACAGACTACCCCTAACTTCTTGCACTGCTGCTTTGCAATAAATAATTTTCTCTCCTCTCAATCTTGGTGTATAAACTATTTTGGCCTGACTGCACACCAGGCAGGGACCCGCGTTTGGTCCGCTAACAGATCAACCTTGCAAACGTTATGCTGAGTGAAAGAAGTCAGATAACAAAGGTCACATATGGAAAGATTGCCCAATCTTCCTTCCAAGGAGTGGCTGGTGGGTTTGAACCGCCAGCCTTCTGGTTAGCAGTCAAATGCCTTAGGCACTATGCCACCAG